CTTGCTGTGCCCTGGGCTCTGCCAACCCTGTAAGCCCTTCCTACTTGCTTGTGCCATCCCAACATCTTTTAATCTGGGTATTCAGCTGAGATCTATGCTGTGCCATGCTAAGGCTTGACATTCTTGAAGTCCCCAGGTCACAAACATAGCCAACACTGTTCTGCAGGGAAGCTTAGGTAATAACTGAGATGCCTCTACGAAGAGCAGTCTGTGCTTTCAGCCCTTCCCAGACAGTTCCACTTACATTATGAGGAGGAAAATAAACTGCCAAGTCTTGGAAGACACCAGACTTGGAAATGGTGGCTGATGGCTTACAGATTTCTGGGTGCTGCAGTAAAAGCCGACCTGTCTTTCCATTTAGGAGCACTGTGCTCAGCCTCATCAGAAAAACTGGAACACTGTAAAGAGGGAGTGAATCTGGGGGAGTTGGTGAAAACACTTGAACAAAAGGGAGTTATTTTAATGTGATAATAGTAAGTGAAAGCAAGGAGATTAGTAAGATTGCTTTTCAGTGAATACCCTTTGAGGTGACTTAGCTTTTTTGTTGTCATCATAGGATTATACATCTGAGCAGCATCAAAATGTGAAATACTAACAACGTGATAGAGACATTTGCTATTTCTTACTTCTGGCTCTAAGTTAGCCAGAGCTGTATTTATTCTTTTAGAAATGTTTTCTTTCTCAAAATAAGTGTTTATGAAAAATAAGTAACAGAAAGCAAGCTCATTCTGTGCCAAAAGATTCCTCTTAATCTGATGTATTTTTCCTTCAGGAACTTCAGATGCACGAATATTTCTGTGGGTTTGGGAAGGCAACTAGCTGTTTCCTTTGATCAGGTATCAATGTTAGCATTTGGGGGCTAAACCCTTGTCTCTACTGGGACATTGGAACAGGTTTTTAAGGCCCTTATGGAATTTAGGGCTTGTGCCAGTGTTGATGAATGGACTTCTAAAAACTGTCAGGCTTTGTAGAAAGCTTGGCTAGGATACTGTGAGCTTGGCACTGGAAGCTCAGATCCTGATCAGATAGATTTGCACGTAGGGAGGCCAGGCCAGGAGAATAGCTGAACAAATTACAAATGACACCTAAAAGAGGGAAAAAGAATTTGGAAAATATCACGGATTTGGTGTTTGTGGGTTGACTTCCACAATTCTGGAACTACAGTTTTCATCAGGCTTTCAGTGACTGTTTGACTAACCTGGAACCTGTCCTGAAGTACAGGGGCTGCGCTTTTGATCACTTATGTTCAGTGAATTGAGGGGGAGAGTGAAGGAAAAAAAGGCAAATTAATTCTAGCTAATAAGAGATTTTTCTCACAAAAATAATAATGAACTTGCTCTGCACAAGGCTGACCGCTTCTAAGATCACGTGTTTTCATGTTGGGCTTTATGCCTGCAGAAATTCAGCTGTTCTCTTTTGTCCAAGAGAGCCATGAGCTCTAACAACACTGCTTTTTGTTGCTCTGTGCGAGGCTGAGTTTACAGACTAGATTCTTCTCGTGGGAAGAATTCTGATTTGCAGAACCATCAGAAAGATGGTGACGTGGCAAGGGAAGGCTTCCACTACTTCCCAATAAATGATGCAGAACAATCACATGGCAAATTCTGGGAGCCTACGAAGTAATGATATTCTTATCTGACACTCTCTGAGGATTTCTGGTCGTTGCTCTTTCTCCTCTTCTTCTTTGAACTACTATATCTCCCTCCTATGGGAAAAGTGACTTTCAGACTGTCAGAGATATTTAAAAACAAACAAACTCAGAAGTTGTAGTTTTTGTGTGTGTACTGTGGTCCTAATCTTCCTATTGTCTGCTTTCAAATATCTAGTCTGAGCACAAGCATTGTAACAGAAGGCCAGCTATCCAAAGATCTGTTTGTACTGGGAAGAAAGAAAATCCTCTGTATTGCATGTGGAGAGACCAGGATGCCTTCTCCTAGAAGTAAAAATTATCAATTCAAAACACCTCTGAATGAGTAGAGCCCATGGCTGATGAATGATCTAGGAGAAATGTATTGATGCTCTTAATCAAGAGTGGCACAGCACAGCTGGAATTCAGCAGTTTAGCTGTCAAAAGTCCTAGGAAGAATGAAGCAGAAGAGGTCCTCTTTGAGGACTGGAACATAAAGTACCAGGAGTGTTTTATTTCACTAACATATAGAAAGAGTAGTTTTATTTCTCTCCTTGCAAAACTTGCCAGTATGATATACAGCTTTCCTAACATGCAAGCTCTACAGGAAAGAAATGTCTACCTGTAAAACGTTTTGTTAATCCCACCACCTTTGGCTAACGTTTCAGCTTCTTATGGTGCTGTGATCTGATGTGATGGGCTTTGTTCTGCATGTGTAACAGAAAACTGATAAAAGAACAAACAGAGCAAGTAAGAAGGTTCTAATCATGTGGGATTTACAGATGATAGAGAAGGTTGCCTATTCTCAAGTCTGTGTTTATATACTTCTTCTAAACCACCAACATGCACGATATGAAATAGTTACTTGCGTTTGAAAGAGATAAAAACTGTGTATGTTGATTTATGAAGCTTCTCAAAACACTCTAAAACATAAGATTGAATACTTGAGTTCAATTTTAAAACAAATTTAAGTCTGTGTTTGAGTCGTAATAAACCTGAGTGGAGGCATCATTCATGTATAAGGTACCAGATTTGGCATATTCTACAAGGTGTTGCAATTGCTCTCATTGGAGATGCTGCAGATTGATGTAAGCATGATCACTTAACAAAATCTTATTCTAATATTGGGAAGCATTACTGATTTGTATCAAGAATGTTATACTAATAAGGAAATTTAATCCAAGTAGTGGTCTTGATGTTTCTCTTCTTGGACTACAAATGTGCTGGTTTTCTGCAGCTGAGGACCTGACTGCTTATTTTCTTCTTGAGGACAAGTATAATACTTGAGAGTCAGCCTTGCTCTGCTTTTAATTAAATGCAAACATAGACCCCCTGTGAGTAGCTCGATTTTGTGCTGGCAACAAGGAGTTTTAAGGAGGTGATCTTTGAAGGTTCCTTCCAACAAACAATTTTGTGAGTTCAAGGTCCCTTCCATCCTAAGCCATCCTGTGATCCCATGAAGAATGGCCAGTCTTGAGATGCGAAAACTGGAGTTGTGCTGGGTTTTATTAACAAAAAACTGTGCAAATGTGTGACTTAACAGAGGCATCAGAATAAGTCTAAAATGTGCTTTAAATGCATGGAGAGTCAGCACAAATACTGCCTGTACTATCTCACTTAAGGCTCCCAGTGCTAGGCACGTGGCTGCCTGGCCCTTAGCTGTCTTTTCAGCACAAACCTTTGAGGGAACCATGAGGATGTGCAGTGCGTAATAGCTGGCTATAAATGGAATATGCTTACCTAGTTGTCCTATGAGGAGTGACTGAAGGAACTGGGGCTGTTTAGTCTGGGGAAAAGGAGGCTGAAGGGAGACCTTATTGCTCTCTTCCAATACCTGAAAGGTGCTCACAGTGAGAGCAGGGTTGGTGGCTTCTCACTGGTGACAGGTGACCGGATGAGGGGAAATGGCCTCAAGTTGCACTAGGGTAAGTTTAGGTTGGATATCAGGAAAAACTTCTTTACAGAAAGGGTTGTGAAGCACTGGAATAGGCTCCCCAGGGAGGTGGTTGAGTCACCATCCCTGAATGTGTTTAAAAGCTGTTTGGATGTGGTGCTCAGGGACATGATTTAGTGGAGGGTTGTTAGACTTAGGATAGTATGGTTAGCTTGTGGTTGGACTTGATGATCTTTAAGGTCTTTTCCAACCTGAGTGATTCTATCATTCTATGAAATGCCAGCTTGCTTTTAAGATTATTTTCTCAACAATAATTATAGAGTTATTTTGTACGAGCGACTTCCACAGAGTTATTTAAGGAAAAGGACTATGTAACAACAACAACAAAGAAATAGCAAGTAATAGCTCAGATATTCTGAATTGGAGATTTTAATGTTCACTCAGATCTTTAAGATTTCTCTTTCCTTTCAAAGTTCTTTCTTTTGATACGTTAACAGAATGTTCGAAGTATTTCAAATTGCCTCATCTGCCTAGTGTGTGTTCATACAACAAATCTGAAGAGCTAGCTATGAAGCTGGTTATCAGTTAGACCTGTCTTCAGCTGTAGTACGAAGACTGCAAATTAAGTTCCTCAACACATCAACCAGACTAATTTATTTCCAATTTCTGTTTACAATCGCTTGCTGAAGCAACAAATCCTGTAAGTTGTGATTTAGGAGAGCTCCCAGTGGAACTGATCAGGGACCAGTGTATCACTGACTGCCACAAGTTTTGAACAAAAAGCAATCAGTGGCTTTTTCTCAGAACTTGTTTGTCAGCTGCAAAGTTAAAACTGTCTAGGAAGAGTATCTCCCTCGGTGGCCATTTGGTGTGTCTTTCAGTTAAAAACTCTGGTCTTCTTAAAATTCCTTCTGTGGAATGCTTTGCTGAGAACAGCACTGAACACCCATTCCCATCTTACTGGAAATGTTGGTAGTTGATGGATAGTTGGACTAGATGATCTTGGAAGTCTTTTCCATCCTTGGTGATTCTATGATTCACGCATCTGGAACAAACTGCCTCAGGATGTAATAATCATAGAACAGCTTGGGTTGGAAGGGACCTTAAACCACCGAGTTCTAACCCCACTGCCACAGGCAGGGTTGCCACCCACTAGATCAGGCTGCTCAGGGCAGCAAACCTGGCTCGGAATGCTTCCATTTAACTACATTAAAGTCATTACTCCAAATGTTTTTGATCTTGTTCTCACTAATAAACATAGCGTACATGCAGGGAATGAGAAGAACAAACTGACGTTCAGTCCTTGCTGACTGATCTATGGGAGAACATTCACTTACAACAACTATCATTAACACCATAATAAATGTATTTATTGAGTTGGCAAACTTGGAAATATAAAGTAATAATGTGGAGTATCTTACAAGACTCGGCTTAGAAAATTAAGTAACATTTTTAGTTTTGATAACAGAGTCTAGTTTAGTTTATATAAATCTTTACTGACACATTTATTGTGATTTTTAAGTAAGAGATCAACTGTATTTCTTGTGTAGATATTCTGAGAAAAATTCTATGGGGCGGGGGGAAGTACTGTTTCTAAAGCAGAATTAGCATCAGACATTGAAGAATAATACAAAGAAATGCTGAAAAACATATACACCAGTAATTCTTGAAACCCTATTTGTAATAAACCCACAATAAGTGTTTCCTTGTTACTTACGAGTATTTTAGACCTCTTATTGAAAGGCAGAAGTGTTGTTTTCAGAAGGAATATTTCTAGAGGCAGAGACTCAAATCTATACAAAAATCATGCTGTCTTCTTTCAATTCCTGTACATGCTCTCTGGAGCTGTAAGTACTGGCAGACATTAATTATATAATGAAAATCCTTGAACTGCTGCCTGCTCCTGCACTGGCTCTACCTAAAGTAATTGTTAATATGTGTTTTAAATATGTGTTTATTAAACGGTTACTACGTAGGGGCTAAGCTGTACTATGAGTAGGGCTTGGTTTCTTCCCAAACATAACAGTCAAAGCAATTAGAATAAAAAGCGGAGAAGAAAATTATTAAAGGATTTGCAGTTTGAAACTGTATGACTGTTTAGACAAGTAGATGAATATAAACATAACCTTCATAGACAAAGCTAAATTACTGCATCAGTAACTTGTACTGAAGGTAATTTCAAATACATCTTCAGACCATCAAGCAAAGATGGCGCAGAGCCAAGTAGAAGGACTTTGGTAAAGTAAAAGGATAACAGCTAGAAGCTGCAGTTGTCGTGCACTAAGGCTGTTTGTCTGCAGTCCTGAAAGGCAGTTTTGTTAAATGAAGATAGCTGGCTTTCATGAGCACAGCTCCTGAAGAAAGACTTGACCTTTTCTTCAAAATATTGCTTTGTTTACTGGAACAGAAATTGTCTATGAGATCTTGAAAATGCTGCGTTGATCAGACAGCTCTGTCATAGCCACAGTTAATACTACATTTAGAAAGTAACATGACTTAATGCTCAACAAAAATATCACACATTTTAAGGTTTATTTCAGAAATGTTGATATACACAGTACTAATTACAGATTTTTTTGAGAAGTTATATTAATGAAGCTGTTGTAAATTTTAATATTGTGACAAAATTACAGATCTGAAGTTATCTGAATGCTGTAGCAGTTCTTTAATTTGTCATGCTGACATTCAGGTCATGGTGTTTCAGTCTTAATTCTGGCCAAGCTGGGACAGCTACATATGAAGAGACAGAAACGATTAGGTTGGTAACATTATTCTTTCACTACATTAATATTTAGTTCATACAGTAAACATTTTTGTCCTACAACCCTTGGTTACTTCTCACAATCAAAAGCATGCAAGTGATACAATATTTAATGCATAACTCCATACAAGAGGTTTTAGGTTTCAAATCCTGAGATTTGAATAAATTTCAGCGTGAAGGCTGGTATGTACAGTCAGAGTTGGAGGAACAAGGAAATTAAGCTCACTGAAGAGCTGTATGATGATAAGCAGCATTTGTTTTTCCTCCTTCAAGTGTAACAGAACTTAGTGAATTTAGTTCTTCAAAATGTAGGTCTGAATAATTTAAGGATGAAGTAAAAGCACAGGTGGTGACAGCTACTGGAGAGCTGAGTACAACAATTTGTATTTTGCAGTTTTATTGGAGAGGGTCAGAAGTAATGGCATCATAACTTCCTTCTTAATGCTGTTTAAAAAAAAAAAAAACAAAACCAAAAACTGGGGATAACCTGAAGCTCCCACAGTTCCAGTACTTCTAAACAGCAAAACTTAGGACACGCATTTCAAGACTGTGCAGTTGAACAGCAATTTTTAATTCAGGAGAATTGCTAGAATAGCTTGGAAAGATCCTATTTGTGGAAAAGTGTCAGAACTTCAGAACTGATTTTTTTTTTTTCTTTTCCCTCTCTAGGATTTATGTTAAGCTGATTACAAAGAACCATTCCAGCTGCACTGCCTGTTAACTCACTGACAACACAGGCCTTCCAAAGATAGTAACAGTGACTCCAAACCTCCTACTTAAATCAAGTGAAGAACAGGTAACAAAACCGCATCATTTTTTCACATCAATTTGTTTTTACAAAGACAAAAATCCATAGAGAGATAGAAGTTAAAAACCAGTCACGGAAGTCATAGTTATTACAGTAATAAGTATTACAGAGTAACTGTTAAAAGTACCTACCTGCTTTATAAACTGTGTAGCATTAAAAAGTTCACTGCAGCCATAGAGGACATGTTTGCCTTGTTTACCCTAAGAAAAAGAAAAGATAGGAAGAAATCAAGTGTTAGGAGTAGCAAAAGTGGCTTCTACAAACTGCATACTAAAAAGTGTATTTCTCCATGATCTTTAAGTCCTACAGTTCTGGCTGTGGTAGAGCTAAAAAGTTTGTTATTTATTTCCAAATTTGAAAAAGCTTTTTTTTAAAAAAAAAAATGAAACAATGTTATGTTGAATTTAGTTGGATACATAATGATCCTAGCCTGCAGTGAACAGTTTGATAGTACTTGTCCGACAACATGGCATTGTAGAAGTGAAAAAATGGTAGAAGTAACACATAGTTTTAGACTGAGTTTATGCCCTGCACTGGCTAATAATCCCACAGCTCCTCAAAGTTTGAGTGCAGGCTCCAGCAATCTGTCTCACTGTTGAATTACTTAGTGCTTTCCTGTACTAGTCTTTTTGTGGCTTTTTTGTCATTGATGTGATTTTAAAACAACAACAAACAAACAGAAAGCACCTTACTATAGCTCTGTGTGAGTGATAAATGATAAACAGCCAGGGAACTGACAGGACAAATATAGAATAGGGGACTCACTTTTTTTCTGATACAAAATTAAAAGTTGCTTAAAAAAAAGGCAAAACAGGAAGAGGAGCCTCCTCAAAATGATTTTGTTTCATAGCTGTGTTAACAGCTGTGCTGTTTCAGCAGTCTCAGAACTGGATTTTAACAGTGGCTGGTGGGCACATGCTAATTCGGGAGATGGTAATCCTGCTTTGTCTCCTCATCTTTATTAATCTGGAGTGGTTTGTGGCAATAAGTTTTCTTGTCACTGAGCAAGAGCTTGAACTTGGTTCTCCCCACCTTTCAGCTACATTATTTAATCTTGAGGCCTGAACAGTCCGAATTTGATCTAAACTGGAATCTTGATACTCTATTTTCCATAATATGAATGGGTAGCACTTAACTGCTGCATAGTAACATAAACAAAAAGAAAAAATAGAGATAATTAAGAAGTGGGACTATTGCCTTTTTAGACTGCAAAATACACACTCCTGTACAATCCCAGTCTTAAAAAATCAAATTCTTCTAAAAGTGTAATTTTGAATAAAAGCATAAACTCATACTCCAAGTTACTCAGCACGCTTAGAGATGTATCACCCAAAAGTTAGTGGAGCCAAGCTGAAGCTGCTTAGCCATGTAAATAATGCAACACCAGTGCTTACTGTTTTGTTGTTGCTGTTTTTTTAAAGCTGTGCAGAATTTGATTTTCTTGTGCAAAATGATAATGTATAGCAGAGGTGGGCTGTCAGGCAGTACTTTTTTTTTTTTTTAACAATATACGAAAGGAAATAAAAGGACAAGCTAAATTTCTTTGTGCTTTGAAGTTTGGCTGGCGCATTTTCAGCATGTTGCTGGCCAATGTATCTGTTTCAAGGTATAATCTTCCTAACTATGAACAATAGTTGATCTATGATGAAGTGAGATTCTAGCACAGAACTGAAAATAACTGGGTTTGAGGGTTAAGTCTCCTGCAAAAACCCCCAAAATGCCAAAGCTGAACACTGCTTCCTGCTTCAGAAGGTTTTCACAGGTTTTCTCTGTTTTCAGTGGCAAACTGGTAAAAACAGACAGTCCTTAAAAAAATAAAGCAGTGAATAAAATCTTTGTTGTATCTGCTTGCGAGAACAGACCTGTTGGGTTTTTTCTTCCTCTTCAGTCTGAAGGAAAAATGATTGAATTTTAGAATAATTAATAAGCTACATCTGGTGAGACAACAGATGCTGGAACTGTACCACATGCATGGAAGTGTGCCAAACTGCACTGGCTAAGCCTGGAAGAACCATCTGGTGAGGCAGGCAAGTCACCTGGGAGCAGGGCAAAGGGAATCAAGTTTTCAGCAACTTTTCTTTGTTTTTCAAAAGCAAGGGACTAACTAAGTAAAGCTGAAGGACACTTTCCTTGTGGAAGGTCATAACCCACTGCTGAAATAGTCTGGAGAAATGTACAGCACATTTCATATTTAACAAACAGATTCCAGAACAGCAAGGAAACGTCTAATCCCTGTCAATGTCTCTGAAATTTTTGGTTCCTCCTGTCCTCTCTTTGTACCTGACGACTGTGTAACTTTCCTTTTCCTTTCTTTTTCCCAATTCTGACCAGCTCTGTTCCAAAACAGCTGCCTGCTAGAGGAGCAAAACAGCCCCGTGCAGTTCTGACTTCATGTTCTGCAAGACATACTGGAATAGGAACACAAAACTCTCAAGTGCTTGGTACGTGGAAAAATACTTTTCAGTTACTAATGCCACATATGTATTGTTTTCAAGGAAAAGCCTTGATCCGGATAGGTAGAAGCATAGCAAGGTAAAATCTAGAAGGAAGAATAGTATTTTGCTGCTCTTACCTAATTCAAAACTTCATCAAGTTTTCCTTTGTTTCCTTTTTACACCTGGAAAGTGCTTCTACCTCATCTCTGCTCCCAGAGGAATTCTAAAGATTTGGTTGGTTGTTTTTTTTTTTCAGTTGCTGTTTTTTGGTCTATGTACATTCTGTTTAGGCTGGCCAGGTGGAACTAGAGACTTCAGATCCCTTATCCCCCATTAATCAAACAGCTGGTTCCATATTTTTTTCTTTGTACACCCTATGATTTCTACACAGAATCAAATGATCCAGCATGCTGAGAATGAACTGCCTGTTACTCACAAGTGAAAACTTCTAAACGTAACCAAGTAATAAGCGTTAAGAGATTGATGTGAACATGATCTTTGCTTTGATAGGTGGCATACTGCTTGCATTCAGAAATGCAACATGAACAAAAATGCCAGAAACAATAACTAGCATTCTAAAATCATCATCCCTGTTTTCTACTGAATTCTTACATACTTTTCCCCTGCATTGTACGCATAGTACCAATGTAACTGCTAATTTTGTAAGACTTAATCTTCCAAATACTAAACATTACAGAAAACCTCCTGAAACTGGTTTATATCAGTAAATTAGAAACTACAAACAGAAGTGTACATACCTTTATGTAGTCAATAAGATTTTGATATTCAATATAATTGCCTCCACCAACTACGAAGACTATTGCCTAAAATACACATGAACATAATCAGAACATGTAATCAAATTCCTAATATTGCAGTAGTGAAGTATATACCCACATCAGTTAATACATCAAAAACTATCTTCATCATGCTTCAGTCTAATAAGAACCTAGCACAGTTTTACTGGGATGCAAAATAACAAGTATTTCTTTTAACATGTTTCTTTGTCCTATTAAGAAATAGGTGAAACAGAGGCAGTTCCAACACGTTGCATTTTTTTGTGTGGAGATGGCTCCAGTTTCACAGCAAGAGCAGCTGGAGTATTTTTGTGGATGATTGAGAACTAATTTGAGAAACAAAATATTTCTATTTATTAAAAAAAAAAACCAGTTCTTCATTGTCTTTCCCCTTCCTGTAAGAAGGTACAAAAGGCATCAGTATTTTCTGGGTTATGTTTAAAACATGTTGAACAATTAATGAATAGAATAAGGAAATGTAACAGTTCCATTCTTTGCATTAACATTCACTATCCAGTATTGTCTGATGTAGCCTCTATCACTATCATTTTTGCTATGGCAGTTCCATGTGACACAGAAAAGTATTTCTTCTGCTCAGGAGAACAATTAAATCATCCAGAGAATTTGCAGACATGCATACAATACTGAGGCAAACTTAGAAGATTTATCTGTTAATTACTATTTGTAAACATTTTTGTTGAAAAATACCAAACTTTACTGGCAGTTGTAGGAAATGAAAAAGGAGCACATGGCAGCACGGGCTGTTCTGCTGCTTTTGTGAGTTATTTCCTTAAATCACAAAGGTTGCTTAAAGAAGTCTCACTTAAATTCACGGCCAACACTATCGTGTAAGACTGAAAAGAGAATTAAATTTAGAGAGCACTGTAAAGGTCTGGTATAAAAATGGGGGTGTCAAATTACTGAGTACCCAAATATGGTGTTATTAAATTACTATAATTATCTCCAGAAGCAATTCTGAGATATTTTTTTCCTCCACTGTTATTCAAATGCTTACACAGCTCGCTGGAGAGACTTTTTGAGAATGGCAGCTCACTGCAATTAATACTAGAGGTAAGCAGACTAAGTGATTCTTTCAAACCAAGGTCTCTTCTTTCCTTTATTACCAAAAAATACTGTTTTCCTTTTTTTTTTTTATACGTGTACACTGACAACACTGACAAGGAACTTCTACACGACTCACCTCCTGGAATGGATTTTTGTTTCGTGGAACTGAGCTGTAAAGAAAGAAAAACACCTACAACTTAAATCTTGTTAGGCATTTATGTTTATATTAGCATTTTTAGTATTAGTACCTGTGTTTATGGAATACTAAACTATATTAGATAAAAATGTGAAGTACAATGCAGAAAGGCAAGTATTGTTCATCAGAGTTATTATTTAATTATTTTTCATAAGAAATAATCATTCATTTATAGGAACAAATACACAAAGTGAATAGCTTTATCATCCTCAGTTTTAAGGTTGCTGTTTGAATCATGACTTTTATGACAATGCTTCTTTTATGCTCAAACTCCAGTGCTGCTAGCTAGGAATACAGCCACAGTGAGAGACACAGGAGTAACAACTGCATCAATGTGATCAGCATCTTTGGGATGCCTGCATTTCTGCTTATGGATGCTTCAGAATCTCAGGAATGACTATCAGCAGCAGGTACACGTTTTGCTGTCAGGCACTGCAGCAACATCAGAATTGAAATGACAGAAGTTTGGGTGGTAGAGAAAAATCCTCAAAATGTTATAAAAGCAGCATGAAAAAAAGTTGCAATACAGCTGTGATAATACTTTACAATGAAACATTCATATTCTCTGAAATTTGCTTCCCATTATTATTTAATGCTATTGGAAATTTAATTTCCATGATTCAAGAACAGATGGAATCTGGACAGATGAAATTCTTATTTACTGCAAATAACTAAAAGCAGAGGTATATATTCATCAAGTAATAAGCCTCTAAAATTAAATGAGCCAATAGCTGTCCCACAGCTCAGATGAGTGTTGGTTTTAGAAGGATGTTACAATTACCTCTCTGTTATCTACAATATGGAAGTGAGGTTATCAGCCACAGATACTGCTCCTAGAAGCAGAAGTCTGTAAACTTCTAGTGCAATGCCTCTTTCGTTCTTACAGTTTACCAGTGAAGCGACGGTCCCTTCATGTATGTGCACGTGAACTTACACGTGCACTTATCTACACAGGAGCAAACGCAGCCTGTTTTCAGAAATCTACTAACAATCACTAAGACAGGGCTGTACTTCAAATTGAAATTTTGGTGGGCTACTCAGTGCCTTTTTAATTTAACGGTGTAAAAACAGTTTCAAAGAAACCAAGCGGTATTTTAAAAAAATTCTAACATTAATCACTGTTAAATACCATTACACATTCCTGTGACTGGTGTACAAATTAGCAGCATGTTCAGTCACTGGAACAAGAACTTTCTTTTTGACAGAAACATATCTGGTTGATTGAGGTTCCAGTTGTGATTTCCTTCAATATCAACCATCTTATCTTAAAATGAATAGTTAGAGATCTTACAGATTCAGCAATAACATAAGAATTATTTCAAGTTAGCCTTTTCCCAGAGAAGGAAATGAGCAAAACTGCCAGTAAACTCACCTGTCACTGCCTCGTAGCATCTTGGGGTCAAAGTAGCGGTAGTCATCTGTCTCCTATTGAAAAGAATGTTTAAATCTCAAAAGATATGGATTTTGGCTCATGAATTTCTGCATTTGTTCCATGAAATGGCCATCAGTCAAACTGCCATGCTTTCCCAATTCCAGCAGATGCATCGCACCAAGTTAATTGGGGTGTGCACACATAATATTTGTACATAACTGAACCAGGGAAGCATAAACAGAGAGATAAACTGTTTCTGATTCAGCTACAATTGACTATTACACAATTTCCAAGACATACTTCAGTTGGTTGCATAATAAATCCCAACAGAAAAGCAATATGTAGAAAGAAAGATTAAGCTGTCACCAGCTTTAGAGGAACATCAGGCAGTTAGTTATGACTGACTTACAAATGCTAACATTTTCCAGGTTACAGAGATCTGCTAGTGATTTAATACCATAAACCAAAACACTTCTAAGGCAATGAATACAAAATACAAGATAGATCAAAATCTGCTACTGTTACGAAACTTACCCTTTTCATTTCATGATTTATGACTGCTATTAAACCAAAATTAAGCTTGTGAGGAAGAAATGAGTTCCACAAGAATTTGAAAAGTTTGACTGTCTAAACTATAAAAGTTTTTTTTTTTATTCATGCAAAACAGTGAAGCACTTCCAATATTTTTACTGGCAACGAGCAGGGTTTTTACCAAGTCTTACAGATGAAAAACAAAGCTTCTTAATAACTGCTTCTGACAACTGCTTGGCTTTAGTCTGTTTCTATACTACAGTTTCATCCAGGTATTTCACATTATGGAGGATGCGTATGTAAGTCTGAACTGGATTTCAGCTGGGTCAACCTACAAGCAAGATCTCCGTGTTCTGTGGAACAAATAATCCTCTAGTAGTAGAAAATTAGCTGGGGGATTTACTAGTGCACACAAGGCATATCTATACATAATATTACAAAACATTATGTTTGACTGCTTCATGTATACTAAAAGAAAATATAGTTTGATATTAAGGACCTCTGCAATTACATAAAATAAATATCCTCACATGTATCTTATTAAAGAATTTAATTTTAAATCTAATTTCATACTGACCATATATAAATGCATTTATACTCTCTACTGGAAATTTCAGCAACAGTTGCCAAGTCTGGCCCCATTCATGACCTTGGAGCCTGGCTTGTAGTGGTGGTACAGCAACTCTAAAACGTGGAAAGCACTAGACAAGACTGAGAGGTATTTGAGAAAACTTCAGCAGGGAACCTCTGATTTTATTTCAGGAGTTAGTTCGTAACTCCTCCTAATTATCAGCTAAACAAATAAGATCAAAAACATTTTCTCGTTATTACTTCTGAGTACCTCTCCTGTGGGCATAAAAATAAATAAATACTAAATTGACACTGGAAAAGTGGCCAGCAAGTAGCAATGCATTATGTTTCTTTTCCTTCTTGAATTTACTTACTCAAAGAATGTGTGTTAGGACTCCTCCTTAAAGGCTTGCCTGATCTCCTATGACTTGCAAAGTAGGACTTCCTGTTTTGGATCAGGTATTCTCATCTTTGATATGGTAGAGAATCATGAACTCCCTGACAGATAGCCTGAAACAATCTCTCCCTTTTCAAGTGAGAAGATCAGTATTTTCTTGAAGACAGCTGTAGCAGAAATGCAAAATCACAGCCTGAAGCAGTGACTGAGCACCTGGTGGGAAGGCAGGGCCAATCCAAGGAAGTTCAGGTGGATGCAGTGCACCTGAGTGACCAGAAGGGGTGGAACCAGAATCCACCCCTTCTCCAGACTTCATTTAGGTGTCAGCAGTAGAGATGAAGGCATCTCTTGCTGGAGATCCCTGCATACCTGAGGCCTTCTAAATGTAAGAGCTTCTTCCCTCTGTTTCTGTGCCCATGGCTGTTACATTTGATTAAGTCCTCACTTGATCACCATCACCCTGGGACCTTGCAGCTCAGCTGTCACTGCGCTTTCCATTGGACTATGTTAGCAAAGTGATCTTGGCTGTCTTCTCTGACTACAAGGTGAGAGCGTCATGTCAGCAACAAGAGAACATATGAACTGCAAACTTCTCCAGCTAAGTTCCTAAACTTCGAGCCTGAGGAAGCTAGCATTTATTTTCAAATTTTGAGTAAGTTTTCACCTACCAGTTTTTAACTTCTGATTTCCATATTAAGTATTGTGAGTGACCTCTACTGGTTGACCAGATACATTAACCCTGTACATCTTTTCAAAGTCCTACAACTAAGGACAACACTCTACTCTGCTGCTGAAAATAACACCTATTTATTTCCACCTAACAATTAAAGTACAATTAAAAAAAAGTTACTTAGAGATTGGTTATTTACCTATGCTTCTATTATTTACCTGCCTTTACCTATTGCTAATATCTGAAGCAGCAAATAGACTATTCTACATCTACTATATTTTGCTACTTTCCATGTGCACATCACCTATGTTTCTGTCATAACCACTGCAGTGCGGAGCCCACCATGAAACCTATTCATCCTGCATAGCTCAGAAGAGCTGACAAGTGAACTGCTAACTCATACAGGCATACGCTGTTAAAGATGGACTGCTGGATACAAATGGCACTAGCAGACCAGTTCTGAATAATGCAGAAATCCACGTGTTCTTTGTACTACATTTATTTTCGTACTATTATTCCTTAACAAGAGGAATTCAAAGGGGTTTATCACACCTGTATACTTGATGTATACAGATCAACTAATGTGACATATTACCATTTTATATCTTGAGTGATTATGATCTCATTAAAATGAGAAACAGTCATTAAACTTGTTCTGAAAAAATCACCTGAAAGTCATTTTCAAAGGTTGAGTGTCTGCCACATCATATTACTATTTTATGTATAGGATGGTCACATCAATGGTTCATTGAAGGAATTAAGAAAAAGGCTTAGACAAAGATTTTTGGCTATTTTTAGCTGTACGTTCTAGCACTTGTCTTGACTGTGCACAATCAAAGCTTTGTTAACTTTGGCAAGTTTAAGATTTCACAGGAAAACAGGAAAAGCAGACTTTCCCAACAAAGCAACCAACCAAACTGGCTTCAAATGCAAGACTGCTAAAATATTTTCCTCCAAACAACAAAGTTTCAAAGATGAGGGAAGGAAAACTTTCTGTACTAACCCTGTTCATATCTACTTAACTTTTAATACTGTGCTCTTAAAAAAAATCCCTTTGATTCAAGAACCATTTCAGGCCATTGTTTAACTTCTACGAATTCAGGAGCAACAGAAGATCAGTATAACACAAAAGCTCAGTCCAGGCCTCCTTCCCCTTCCCCCCCAATAAAAAAGATAGTTTGAAACACCATCAAATGTCTTAAGATACCACTTTTATGCTAAATAAATTGTATGGAATAATAATAAAATGAAGATGTTTCTGTTGGTGAAATCAAGCACTGCATTATTGTGAACAAAGAATAGATAGGGTATATTACCATTACAAAGCCTAAAGATTTCATTAGACAACTTATCTCTTTGACAGTTACCTACTTGACAATTATCTCTTATGTGAAAGCAATTATACTCACTGGGTTTGACTTCATTTCCATAAGGTTGTCCAATATACGTGTGACTGGCAGATTCTACAAAACAAAACATGAAATTAATGAAATACTGAATTGCTTACTAAGCCTTATTCAGAGGATAATCAATAGAACATTTGCAACACTACTTTAAACTGTTAGGCTCTTATGTTTTGAAGAAGCTGAAAAGTACCAAAGTAGACAATAACTACTCTGGACAAAAAGTAATTCAGGTGATGGTACTGCAATCATCTATTTATTTATTTATTTATTTAATTACATCTCAAAGCTGAAGTGCTTCCTCAGCAGTCAACACTCAGCATGAGACCCCCTCCACCCCAACTTCTTTGTTTCAAGAAGCTGCCGGCTTTACTTCAGAATTCTAGAAATTCCATCATGAACAGGTGCCCAGGAAGTGCCATGCTGCACAGCTGTATATGCACTGCCATCTCAGAACCTTCCAGCAATGGAGACACAAGAATGTTTACTTCGTGGGCTTTGCAACGTTACACAGTGGAAATGTTTAGCAACATGGCTTATTTGATCTAGGCTCTTTTCCTAGGTGCTTTTTTTTTTTTTAAAAGACTGGGTGAATTTCAGCTAACAGTTAGGAAGCACTATTTCTTACTTTTGCACATTCCAAGAGCCTCAGCTTACAAATTCTATATCCCTAAGCCATGCTCTACTAAATTCACACTGGAAGAAATTGCCATTGTAATAGTCAATCACAAAAGCATTTCTGCTGCTTACTGGGAAAGGAACTTCAGGTATTTTAAATTCTCCTGGTGCTAATGGTCTATACAATGTACTGACAGTTAATATGTCATTTATGGACACAGCAGTAACAGTTAGCTAACTAACTACTGTAATTTCTAACAGTTGGGTCATCAAGTCCTTTGACATTATTATGTCTTGTATTCAATTATTTACTAGTTCCAGGGGAACTTCAGTTTCCAAAAGTGTGTGGAATTCAGAGTAGCACTGGCAGAATAGAATGGTTTGGGTTGGAAGGGACCTTTAAGATCATCCAATTCCAATCCCTCTGCTATAGGCAGGGATACCTCGCACCAGACCAGGTTGTTCAAAGCCCCATCCAGCCTGGCTTTGAATGCCTCCAGAAAGGAGGCAACCACAATATAAGATGTAATAGCAGATAGTGCAGACAAAACAAATTGCCTGAGATGCATGTAATGAACAGTGCTTTCTGTAAGCCAAACTAACCCTCTGTTCAACCAAGGAAATTCTCACATCTAGAGCTATTTTCTAGTGGGCAATACAAACACCAAGCCAGACTAGGAAACTCAATAACTGCACTGCCTATAACACCTTAAGGATTTAACCTGTAATGCAAAATAATAACCTGGAATCATGTTGGCAAACTTTATTTTTTGCTGCTAGTTCTAATTCAGTTTCAATAGCAACACAATGCTTCCAAATCTTAGAAAATGTACTTTATCCAATTTTAGTAGAGGAGTGACTACCATAACAAATGCAATATTCTGCTTCAGTCCTTTTATTACATCTGAGGTTAATAGGAAGCCTTCATGGACAAATTTTTCTTCTTCTTTAGTAAACATATCCAAAGTAGAGAAGTGGAGTCTCGGTATGTTAAGACTTCTGTCAGGAGGTCTCTAGGACACTACTTCATAATTGTATCAGTAAAGCTCTTTTCCTGGCATAGATGATCTTAGGTCTTTTTCAATCTTAATGATTCTGTGATTCTAATCATCCACCTCTGTAACTTCCAATACAAACTCACCACATACAGGGCAACAAACTTAAATTTTCCATTATGAATGACTAATCTGCATAATAAACATGGGTCATGCTGAAAATGGCGTATCCTATTTATTTCCCCAGAAACTACAACAGATACAAAGAGAAGAACTCTGTTAACAGAGGAAATTCTCAGCTACAAAGCCCTGTTTTCAACACAGTCTACATTAGCTCTGTGTTTTTGTCAGCCATGATCAAGAGCCTGCATGCCACGCTTGTCAAAATCCACTGGAGGGGACCTGCTGTCACACTGCTGAAACTGACCATGCATGGCCTCACTGTGCTCTCATCCACTGTTTAGTATCCACAAACATTCAGCAAACATCACTGAATGACAATGGGTGCCATTTTTTCCAGACTCCTCCTCTGCCACTGTGGGCCACCATAATAAAATAAAGAAGGCGTTACTTTCAGAGCAGTCCTCATAGTATGACAGAGGTAACAGAAGTCATTTTCCTCAGTTCACAACTGCTTGACAACGCATGGTCTATAAACTTACTTGTTGCTTCAGTACCAAGTTCTTCACACCTTCCATCACAAACTGTGATCCTGTATTCATAACACGTGAAAACAGACTGAAAACCAAAACAACATTGCAAATGAAAAAAGAAAACGTTACATGTAATTTTTATGCTTAAAATTAATATCCAATTCCTATTAAAGCCAAAGCAACAAAAGGTACTAATTCAGTTTTTCATGAAATAAGATATCTTTCAAACCGCATGGCAAACCAAGCATTTGGGAATACACCTATAATTGAGCAGTTAGATTCTCAGCTATCAATAGGAGTCTTGTGTTCTACTCTCTGATCCACTGAACAGTTAAAGCCTTCAGGAGTGGAAGGATTTGAATGCTCCATTTTTTTTTTTTTTTCCCAACTTAAGAAAACAAAGAATTCTGATACTGACATGGGAAAATCAGTAACTACTGTGACAGTTTCCTTATGACAGCACACTTCTGAATGTACAGCTGGTAACGAGGAATCTCTATGGGTTATGCACAGCCATTACCTTCTCATTCCATGTCTTAAAATAACCAACTACACTCTCTCCAGGAGATCCTAAGAAAAGTAAGTGCATTCTTGCTTCTTGCCCTAGAGATGACCCAATTGGAATACACAGGGCTGTTTTTGTTTCCTGCCATGGATTAAATAAGGCTGAGCATGCTGGCTGTCTTAGTTTCTTGCTGAATTCTCCTATGACAGCCCATAAACTTCATGTGAAGGTAACAGGAATCACTATATTAAGTTCCTTTCTGGATTTAGCCACTTATCCCTTTTCTTTAAATTTTTCTTTTATGCAAGTCCTATGCACTGTTAATGGGAGCTAAGTAATTTAAAAAACAAATTTTTCAAATAGGGAAATGTTTTATTCTGGGCTACATACAACACTAACTACACTTTCAGTACTACTGAAATAAACCAGAAGAACCCAAAGGTTTACTGACAATTAATCAAAAACATACCCCAAAGGTTTAGGTGTAGAGTTTCCATAGCTGGTTGGAGCTGAAGCCATCTTAGTGAAAGCCCTATGAAAGCAGGGGTAGAAATCAAATGCTTCATCTCATGGCACATCCTGCTGTACAGTGTTCCACTCCAGTCATTTCAAAGTGAAAATACTTATGCTTCTCAAACTGTTTCTGGAAGAAACTATTTCTCATGTGCATCCCTCTTGTCTACATCTACAATGATTAAGGAGCTGAAAGGAATTAGATTTTGTATTTAATAGGAATTTATTTTAATAAGATGTACAGTAACTGATAGGCAGTGCAGCCCTTTGGCATGAATCACAAAATCTGGAAGCTGAGCAAACCCAACTTTTCACCAAATTCAATACATTTTTTCTGTCTTGGATAATTAAGAACACTGATATGCATCACACTGAGTAGGGTTCTGGCATTATTAGAGTTCCATGGTAAAGTAAGATTTTGCATGTATTATCATAACAATGACAGCAAAGTTTATGCCAGAATAAATGTTTACGGATAATTTACACTGTATGATACCCACACTGAATTCTGTAAAGTTACCCCAATTACAGCCTCACATAGGAAAAAAAATGGAAATTACTCACTTCCACTGTTTTATGTAGCTCAGAGGAGCTAGATTACAACCCGCATCCATCAGTGCTTTTTTATACTGGTCCAAATCAATCTGAAATTATGAAGTGCAGAATCGCAACAGGTTTAAACTACTCTTAACTCTCCATGCGGAATATAAGATTACATTAACTTCACTGATACTGTAAGTTTGCTTATTTAATATTTAGATAAAAAGCAATTATTAATCCCATCCTCTACCAAGTACAAAAATACAACTTAGATGTAAGCGCACAGAATTTAATTCCACAAATACAGTTAAGTTCAGTGAAAGCTACTTGTAGCAAATGCATTTTAAGGAAACAGTTTACAATATCGACATCCTTCAGAAACCTGACCGCATCGTGCTTTATGTAAAGTGTCACAACAGCAGCCAGTGAAAATGAAGAGCATCTTACCCAACCCAAGCTCATTTTTTCTACTAGTCTGAGTCAGTATAATATTTCATTGTGAAATGTTTCCATCTATATTAATTCTATATTACAATATTTCTACAGCATAATAGAAAACGTCCTTGAAATTAATCATAAGATCTAATGAACTATTAAGAAATTGCCTCCTGACCTGTTCTGACAACAGCATTTCTGCATTGTGCATCCACTAGTCAACTAACCAAATTACTTTGGAACGTACAAGGATAGAGTGAAAAGTGTCATGTAAACTTTTTAAAATCCACTTAAGAGTGGAAAGTGTACCAAGATGAGTTTCATAGTAACTCTAAACTGAATGGTTCAAAAGACGACCTTCCTTCTTACTAGTCATGCATATCCTTCACAGCAGTAGCTAGTGCTTGACAAACAGGTTCCTTGATAAAACCAGACGATTTATTTTAAGTTTCTGTATTACCCGGGCATATCATGCTTCTGTTCACAGAGAAGCAGAAATACCTACTTAAGGCTGATCAAACACAGAAAAGCCTACTTGGTAAAACGCAATGTCATGAACTGTAAAGAATGTACCTCTGAAGGTGCCTGAGATGAGCTGATGTAATAGATAAGAAATAGTCGCATTTTGTCTTCAGGAGTTCCTGCTGCAGTGAAACACATAAGAAGAACTGTAACTATGAAGTGTTAAATGCCCTTCGATGTACGCATATAACAACCATTTCTATAAATAAAGGTCTGAATTATATATGTATTATCTCTCCTCATGGCTTTGTTCAATACACACAGTAGTAAAAGACATTCAGCATTTTATTTAAAAACTACTAATAAGCTCACTGTTTCTGAAGGAGTTACACCTGCCAGATCTGCTTGTAGCAAACACTGCTCTGCAGGTAAGGGTAACATACAAAGTAAGTTACCTCCTGGTATTACACATCTAACTTTAGGAGTGAACTGCAAGCATTCAGTGGACAGTAGAACTGTGAAAAAGACTGAAGAAAATCATGAAAATATAAGCCACAGCATTTTCTTTTCAGCTCTACAATTTGTTTATGCAGCTCTAGAATTGGCTGTACTGAAACAGCTGAGAGCTGAAAAAGCACTTACGTTCGAACCTTTGGTCAGGAAAAAAAACACTGAACTACCAACTTGTCTCTGGGAAGGATTTCACCTCCTGAATTATTAGCACACCATTTCCTTGGAGAAAAAGATTACAACAAATATTTGGGAAGCATTATCAATGGGAATCAAAATTCATCTCTGCCAGAGCAAACAGATGATCTGACCATCCTTGTGTTCTTTAGACTATAACCAACTATGTCAGAATTCAAACAGCATCTACTTTTTTTCTAGCAGAAAACCACAAATAATAGAGAACACTTCTCAAAACAAATGTTTCAAATCTGTAGTCCAGCACTTCATTAGAAAAGCTTGCTTGCTGCCTTTAGATGCAGTCAATACTTAAAAAAAATACACTGTTCCATACTCATGGGGAAGAGAAAAATACTTCCCAGCTATGGAATATGGATCACAACAGCAGGGAATCACCTAATCCAATATGCAGCTTTTGTTTGTAAGCAAGCACATATTTAGTCTGGCAGAAGCCTCTCTCATAGTAAGCACTGTCATAACGAACATTCATGACTTGATTCAACTGATTCCAAAACATAAAGTTTTAATAACCTTCAACAAATACCAGTAAGCCAGAAGATCAAAAACTGAAAAACTTTGTATCATGGGAACCAACAAACAGCTTTCATGGTAGACATCCCTTTGGAGTCAACTTGGCTCAAAACGCACTCTGTATGTCCTAAAGAGACACTGTAAGAGAACCTGGTCTCTGTAACTGACTCAGACACTTGGTTTCCAACTTGCCAGTTTATAGCTTATGGCAATACCTGCTGGAACACGATAGCATTTCCCTCACTGAGCATATTTACCATGCCTGCAAAACTCCTGGGAGGTTTGTGCTCACAAAAGTGTCTTGCTTAGACATGAGCAGGTGATATTTTCTCCTACCAAAAAAAATAAATAAATTCAAAGTAAATGCTTAGATTATATCATGTACACTTATATAAATCTTAGGAAAACACTTTTTTTTTTCTTTTCTCCTGGTGAAAGTAATTGAAATGTTGGTATAAAACACAGCTGTGATAAACAGTTGCAAGTCCCAGACAGGCTGCTTGTTAAGTGCTTCCCTTTTTTTTCCCTAAGCCACGGCCTGTGACAGCCTGGGAGGAGGACAGGGATGATAAATGTTCTGCAGGAAACTTAACTTGACAAACCTCAAATAGAACAACTTTATATTCAGTGGGAAGCCATCAGAGCTACTGCTTCACTAATGGAGAAAAGCAAAATCAGTAACTCTGGTTTTAGTACCACTCCATGATACAGTAACATCCCCTGAACTGGGAAACAGCTAACTGCCATGAATGGTAAATCGCTAACAGACAGCAAAAATGGGAGGACAAAGCAGGTAAGTGCTCAGGTCTGCCACTGTGAAGAGCTCTGCAGGTATCACTGTCCATAAGGCAAGTGCCCCACAGATCATACAAACAAATATTCACCACTGAGTGTGCTGGAAGACTTGATGCATTAGTCCTTCAAACAAGCTTTCCCTGTTGGTATCTAACAGCAAATCACACAATTGGAAGCTATCTAGTTTTGCAAGACAGCATACACAGAAAAAAAACATGGTACTTAAATCCTTTTGTTTCATCAGTCTTTTATCCAGGCAAAGTATATGAAATGCTAATTAGTTACTATAAACAACTGAATATCTAGCTTATAAAGAAAACTCTAGCTTAGATGTCTAATCTTTTTCTTGTGCACACCCAAGATATTCATTGTTAAAAGGTTTCAGTGACAGTTATGTGAGGCCACTGCCTCTGCTACGGCACTGCAAAAAGCCAAGAACACATTCTGGTTTGGGCCTTTTACAGAACAGTTCCCAGTGACTCCTGCTGATAGAGAGCCCAAGTACCAGCCAGTATGTAAAGCTTTAGTATGTAGTAACCAGACATGAATCAGCTGGGAAGCTCTGTTGCTGGGTACTGATAACAGATCTGCCACAGCTGTGTGAAGGCACATCAAACCCCCATGTGTCTGTCAGCCAGCTGGCTGGTTATAGCTTGATTCCCTTTTCTCCACCATCTTACAACCCATCTCTCTCCCTATCCCCCAAGCAAAGGTGATCTACCTACACTACTGCCCTTTTACCTAAGCAAATCCAATGAAATGCCCTGCTCCATTCTGGCTTTATGATGTGTTGGATTCTAAAGAACCAGCACTGTTCAGAACACACAACTCCACACTGTATTAGTAAATACTTGACAAGCAAGGAAGTTAAAATCTTATGGCCTTCAGCAACACAGAATTAGAAATGGATCTGTGTGGAACTGCAAAAGTCACCATTTTTTTAACATATTACTCAGCCTATTTAATAAACACGGTAGACCACTACTGGAATCAATGACAAGCTGTTTCCTTTAAAAAGTTGCACAGCTTGCAACACACGTACGCTCTTTACTGTCCACGAAGTTATAGCACATGTTTATTGCATCTCAAAGCATGTTGGCACCAAGTTCAGATTTAAGGTACTCACCATCTGGGTCAGAAATCATGTCCAGCAGAGATTTATCCAAAGTAGATTTGCTCATTATTTTTTCCTCGTATTCAAAATACACATCCAGCTTTCTAGTCTGGGTAAGAGTAAGTGTTAGAATTTATTAACTCAAACTAATTCTTCATACTATGACAAATACCTTTTTCCTTTTCAAAAGGTTTTAGTCATCACAACTGTTTAAAAAAAATGTTTTTAAATAAATTGCCAGAAAAAAAAAATGCTTACCATTATCAATGTCAGAAAATTGACACCACTCTCACAGTAGAAGTGAAAATGCAAGTTAAGCAGGGATGTACAAATATTAAACTGGAAGAGGAGCTTTGTTTGAAACTCTGCTTTTGCTGCAGCTGCAAACTTCATGTCATCATACATACAGTCAAATTTGTGCTGAACATGAAGTCTCTCAGTCAATGAGACAATTACTCAATGTAGACAAGCAGGAAATTCCTAAATCCAGTACAGTATCATTCCAGATAAGACTGGGAGCTTTCCTTTCAAATCTGACGAGTTGTTGGTGTGAATGAGCTATTTCAATAAAGATGGAACACTTCATAATTAGACTGCCTGGCTAACACTTATTATGACAGATTTCTAGAGTTATCACATGCAGACCAAATTGTGAAAATCCTTTTTTAGAGAGGACACCACAACTACTGCAAAAGGCAAAAGCTCTATGGAAGACATCAGATGGCCATGCAACTATTGACAGCACTCAGTGCATCTTGCACAGACAGCCAAGCTTTGCACATCTGATCAGTTTCAATCTGGACACAGAAGAATGCATTCCAGCACTGATTTAGAAACCTGATGTTCCATCACAGTTTTTATATTAAAATGTGGCACTACAGCAAATGGCTCAGCTTACAAAGCCTTAACTTCTGGCCACTAACTAAATCCTGCTGAACAAATTCAGCTATGCAATGACTCCAAAAGGAGACTGGTAGAGTGGATCTCCATCTCACTGCCTTGGAAGCATTTCAGCTCCACATTGTGGTAACTGGGAGACTGAAATGATGTTAGCAGAGTGAGGCATGAGTCACCACGCTTTTTCTCAGGTTAAAAGATTCTGAACATTTTTTGCCCAATGTTGTTGAGGCATGAAAAATTGCTATGGCACCTTTTAACCCAGTGCAGTGGTTGTTCTAATGGCAGCAACAGAAAAACACTGGAAGTCTCACTTGCTTCTGAATCCTACTACAATTATTCCTAAGAACACAAATAAGGAAATAAAAAATAAAAATAATTAAAAAAAACAAAGATAAGAAGGAAAGAGAAAAGAAAAGAAAATTAGGATATTTCACATTTGAGTACAGTAAGAGGGACGAGAATATGAAATAAAAAGTCACAAGAATATTTTACTATTGAAAATTGTTGGCAGTCAGCTTATGCAGGCAGCCACTTGCCTTACAGTACCATACACATAACACTCCTGTTTCTCATTGCTACCTACCAAACACACTGAGAAGAGCAGTTTCTTGCAGAACAGCACCTCAATTTAATTCAGCCTTTGTAGAAGCTCGTATTCAGGGATATTTTTATAAGCTCTATCTCTGTAGCAGTTTCCATGAAGTGAACTCAGAACTGATCACTTGCTACTTCTAGGGGTAGAAGAATATCTTATTTTGTCACTGTGACTGGCATCACATAAAAGTTGTATGGAATGAGGAAAAAAAAAAAAAAAAGATGCAGAGCTCCTCTCAAAGCTGTATTTGCCTTGTGCCCATATTAGAGGGTACTCACAGCCATAGTTACACTGCTGTAAGGCCCTGCATTGATCATACCTTACTCAGCTGAAAGGTAAACTAATGATCTGTGCCTATCTTACACTACTGTACAGACAACAGACAGGAACTGCCAGCCTTTTTCCAGGTGTTTCATTCAGATACCAAATGAATTTGGTATCCAGCATGTCAGACATGTTCTGTGACCTGTCTCCACAAGACTGGACAACTCTAATTTGCATTGTAAGCTTCCTTAACTGTCTCTAGAGACAGAAAACAACTGCAAAGAAGCCATTACGATTTTTTCCAGACTTTGCATTATATTCACTTCCTTTTGTGTCTTAAGTAAATTTGAGTTCCTTACAAGGAGTTAAAAATCAATGTCTTTAGGTTTAAAACATTTTTCCCAGACAAAAGGCATCCAACTAACAAAGGATTTCACAAAATCTGGAAACTTCATCTCATTAAGATAAATAAATTATTGTTGAATTTGGCAGTGCCTGTATTATCTTAGCTGGTGTTTCATTTAAGACAAATTTATTCAGATGGCATGTAAAACTCTACAACATAAAACAAATACATTAATTCAAAACATTTGTCTACAGGTCAATTTCTAAATAAAATAACTTAAACATGAGATACTTCAAATTGTAAGAGTAGATTTACAGTTCTTAACTAATTTTCATTGCAAACTGCTTAAAATTCTTCACAACTCCATGCTAATTTCTGACTGTTTGGGTAGGGCAAAACAGAGTACTGCAGCAAAGAAAACTCACTGACTGCACATAGCCACACTACTTAGAGCATGAAAAGAAATATTAATGGCAGTTACATACTTACTCTCCAAAATCTGGGACAATGGTTTTTGAAGCATGAACTTCATGCTCTTCACAAAAAGAAAACTGACTGAACATCCTGAAAAACTCAGCTCCTTTTTTTGCCCACAGTACGCAACACACACAGCACCTACTGATATGGATCAATACAGAGAGTCCACTCAGCTTCCTCATCACCAGGCGTTACTGTGTACATAACCAACTTACTAGAGAAAGTGCTCGTCAGGGCAGTAGTTTTCTTATACAGGTATGTGAGGAATTAGATGGACACCAAGTAAAATTTTATAGGATTACTGAATAGCCACAAACACTACTAGTTACCTTTTGACAGATTTCCCAGATATGTCATATCAATGAGACAGTTACTTCCCAAAGAGCCAACTATTCCAAAAAGTGCTGATAAGAAGCAGATGTCCCGGTTTAGAGGAAAGTGCCATTTTTCTCACTCAATGACAAACTCTCAGACATGCCAAGAGTAAAAGCTGGGGAACGGGAGCTAAACAATCCTGTAGATTCAACAAGACAAGACAGCAAGAAAGAGGTCCTTATGGCTGCCAAGCTGGATAGCAAGGTGAAGAAAAATAAAGACGCGTTTACATTTACATTCCTTTCTGCCTCCTGCTCTCCATTTCCTAATGCAACATCTTATTCCACACTAACGCCATTCAATTACCTTTCTCATTTCCAGCTAAGAGATAGGATCTTTATTGTAATTAAAGCTCCACATTTCAGCTTCTTTATTTATTTAATATTTGTGAAAGCTTTCAACTTAGCATCTTTAAAAACAATTTGTTATGAAGCCAAAATTTATTTTAGGGTAAGTTACTGAAATGCACCAAAATCTCCACCTGAGCACTGGACTCCAAAACAAGCATAATATTCCTTCATTTTAAGGCAGAAAAGGGGAAAAGCAGGATTAACTGAAACATCCTAGAAGGTCATTTTTGTACAAATTTTATTAGGTTATCCTATCCTCTTTACTGAGATACTTCCTTTTAGAGAGAGGGAGAGAGAGAATATGCAGAAAAAGAAAAAAATCATATTTTAACTTACTGGAAGGAATTTCTCAAAGACACTGACAGAAAACAACCTGAAATAACAGCCCCACAGAAGTCAATGGAATGAGTGAGTCTAGCCAGGTAACTGAAGTGTGATGGATGTCATCAGGCTTGTTGATAACAGGGCTCAGAAGGGAATAATGAAAAACATGGAAGATATTCTGACTAGGACTAATCACTTTACCTTTTAAGTACAGCAGCCAGAGAAAGCCTGATTTGAGCTTAAATGAGCTGTTGGGTACAACCGTTCAGTTACCAGCTTCTTCACAGAAGAATCAATGCACAAAGACACATTTGTTGCAAGTGCTGACAATAAATAGTCCATGGTTCACTTAGTGAAAAAAGTGATGTATTCTTTCCATCATTTCACTAAACATTTAGATACGCCAGAAAACTGCCAGGACCCTTGAGCATGTGATTCATTTCTAGTTTCCTCTGGCTGTGTCTTAAAAAATTATCCAAGACCACATGGAAAGAAGATGTAAACTAAGCACTAAAATATGACTGTAAGAGAAATTAAACTCACTTAGACTAACTAGAGCAGGTCTCATAGCATTCTTTGCACTGATTCTCACACCTCCAAGAATAAAAACACTCATATTTACTGCAGTAAAAACCATAACTGACAATGCAGAGAATCTGTTTTAGAGTCTGAAGTGTTTCCAGATCAATGAGAAAGTGAAAATAACCTGAAAACAAGTGTAGTGTCTCACTAGATCCTCCTGACCCGTACATGTGCCCAAAAACATATCTTCCTCTTATCCTAATCTGGTTTCTCTTTTAACCTCACATAAAACACACTGTACTACTGTTTCAAAGTATCATGAGACTTTCTTTAAAAAGTACTGGCTAAGATTATGTATTTTTGTGGTGAAAATATTTCTGAGAAATGCATGCAGTAACATGCCATCCTGCACTTTAAACCTGCCCACCTTGAGTGGATATTTTTTTGTCATACCAGAGAGTGATGAGAGAAAAAGGGAGAAAAAAGACAGCACAAAGCAACTGGGAGGAATTTATTTAGTGAAAAAGCTTCTGTAGGTAAGTTCCAGTAGAAAAAAATAATAAAACTTGTTTCTGCACTAGCCTGAGTTTAGTTAGTTCCTAAGTGTTTGGAGAAGGAAGTGATCCTTTCTAAAACAGAGAAACAATGATAGAAACACACATAATCAACGTACTGAAGAAATTACATGCTTATTTGTCTCACAATCTTCCACAGCTCTGTAACAAAAAGTACAGAGCCAGAGCACTCTGCAGAATGAGAATTAAGAATCATTTATGGATAAATTGATCCCTGCTCCCTGGGAGCTCTCCAGTAGCAGGCTCCTATCAGAGAAGGGAGACAAAGGCTAGCAGAGAGCTGCTGCAGAAAGACACCTCAAGATGACAGGAAAGTGTCTCAGTGACACCTAATCAAGAATGAACAAATACATCTCAATTCAGCCTTTTGCCAAGACGACACTGTTCATCAGAACTACTGTTATTTCTATTCCACATGCTGCTCTGAAATCTGGCCTCTGTCCTAAAAATTCGTATCATATAAGTACTGGTGTAGGCCTATCATTTCTGTCAAACCACTGGGTTTATTAAGATCAGCCTCCTTTTCTCCAAGCTTATTGCCCTCTACAACTTCCTGAGGAGGAAAAGGAGAGAGGGAAGAAGGCGCTCGGCTTTTCTCCCCGGAGACAGGATGCCTGGACATGGCTCAAAACCATGTTCAACCAAGTTCAGACGAGACACTAGGAAGAACTTACTGAGTGGGCCATCAGACTCTGGAACAGACCTCTTGAAAAGTTGGTTGATGCCCCCTGATAGTCCATGTTTAAGAGGCGTTTGGATAATGCTTTTAATGGTATGCTTTAAGTTTGGATCAGTTCTAATTTAGTCTGATAGTTGGATTCAATTTTTGTAGGTGCCTTCCAGCTTAAAACTATTCTGTATTTTGTTCTATATCTTAAAATTCAGAACGAATTCGTTTATAGAGCTTGGTTAAGAAAAAGTTCAGCAGCAGTAATAACTGAGGATGCACCTAACACACATGAAGAATGCTGAAGTAGTCTTCAGAACATGTTGCATTCTATCACTTTTAAACAGCATGGAGTAGAATTTTCTAAACTACTTTCCAACGACACTTGGTGCTTGAATCACTTTCTAGAACAGAAATGCATTGTTTCTTAAAGTCTCACCTATAATTTCTCTTGGTCTACTACGGAAGTAGATGTATCTTCAAGATTACCCGAGTAATAACTGAGGTCTTTACCTGATACCAAAACTATCTGCAAGAGCAGCAAACACAAAAGTGAAGAAACATCTTTCCTAAGAGCACAAATAACACAGAAGACACATTTAACACAGACCCTGCTGAAAAGACCGGTTTGGTAACTTGCATCATTACTGCCACATCTCTGGATATCACTTTCATTTGGTGAACAGTAAACAGTACTCTTTTGACAAGTGCATAAAGCACATAATGAACATAACATTAGTGCTAAGATTTCAGTCATAACTGGCCATGACACATCCCATAAACAAACAAAACACTTTTGTCATAAACTTAATTTAGAAAGAATTTAGCCCAATAATGGTTATGGCCATCATAGTAAAAAACAAAACAAGAGTAGAGTAGTAAATTCCAGAACAAAGAAAAGGGTATTTATCTTACTTCTCACACATAGATATGCAAAGTTCATTCCTCCTTACCCTTAAACACTACGTAATGTTATATTTATGAAAAGGATAATACAGTTGAGAAAGCTCACTTTTTTTTTAATCTCACTTCACTTGCTCAAGTATTTTTCTCCAGGTAAGGAACACTAACTCATACAAAGCTGAACTCAGAGAGCCATCTTACCTTTATATGCTCCAAAACAGCTGTTGCAACATTCGTATGCAGATCAATGAGCCTCTTCTTTTCCAGAAGTTCTGGAAGAGAGCTGAAAAGATTAAATACAAACTAATCTGCTGAGTTGCAGCAATTATTTGAATTGTACATACTTGCTACAGAAAAACTACAGAATACAGTGCAGTTTAACTAAAATGTTTCAAAATACACATCTAATGAATCCCAAATAGAGCAAAGTAATCCACACACACTTTTTATCTTGATTAATAAAAAAAATACAAACAACATGGACAATTTAGTATTCCGACCGAAAGCTCATGATCAACAACAGATATTTGTCCTTCTTACCTAAACAAATAATATATTGAAATTATGGCTTACATAATCAACATTTACTTCATTTTTTATACAGATTAAAGTTTCAATATCTGTCAAATAACTGCAAAAGAATATCAAATAATGTCAAAGAATCAAAGAATTATCAAATAATACACTAACTAATGGAATGAAAAACAGATTCAGAATTAGGAAACAAGTCTAACTCTCAGATTTTTAGTGTCATTCAAAAAGTTAGGTATTCAAGAGCAGGAAAGTAAGCTTCCCATACAGTGTTCTTAAGAACAAACTATAATTTTGCCAAGAGATGTTACAGTTAACTACATTACACAAAATCTAATCAGTTTCACTGTACAAAGCAAGGAGTTGCTTTGGGAAGTGGACTTCTTTAACTTTCTTTTAAGGAAGGAATGCAGAGATAGTTGATGCTTTTGTGGTGAAAAAATGCAAGCAAATCTATGAAGCACTTTTGTTATTCAGCATTGCTGCTGATGAAACATTTCAAGAGCCTGTGGCAGGGGGGTTGAAACCAGACGATCTTTGAGGTCCTTTTCAACCCAGGCCATTCTATGATTCCTTGTTTAGAGCACTATCAAACACATGCTGTTGAAGCAGCATGCAGAAGACCTTGTGGAGGATGTGCTGGCTTGAATCAGAATAACGCAGCATCTATGTTTTACTAGTGAGCTGAATAGTCTTTTTAAAAAATATATTTGTTTAAAAGGATATTAAGAATGAAGTGACAGAAAGAATTAAAAATAGTTCCCAACCAATTAAAAAATTATGCGATATTGACTACTTACCTGACAGCTGACGTAAGCTTAGCTGTATTGTCAGAAAGCATGCTTATTGCTCCTTCATCCTCCCCTTCTATGCCCTGGTTTTTGCACAACAGTTTGTAAAGAAAAATGAAAATAATCATGATTATGAAGACGATACACAGAAATACAGTCACTGCATTTGAACTAATTTTCTCATAGTGATATTAATGTCCGGATTGTTTTACAATTAAGGAAATTACATAAATTTAATGCCAATACATGCAAGCAGTTGAAGCTTTTAATGAATTATGGCATCCCTAGTCCTACATCTAAGTTCACATTACACCTAAAACTCAGCATGCACTGACATTTTTGGTTGTCGGCTGGCAGAGCAGGCTGAGCAAATGCGTAAGTCCCATTAGTCTTCAAATGAAAAACATGAGGTCAGGCATACCATTATACTTTTTAGTCTTTTTACTTCATCTTCTTGGGCTCTGTAGGATTCCAGTTCTTGTTGAACGGATTCAGCTACCTCTGGAAAAGGACTAATGTAATACTCTGGATTAGGCTTAGTTGAGATCCACAAATCATTTCAAGAACATTGTATAATCAAGGTGATGATGAAAACATATTTCAGAAATACCAATACATTAATATTACCAAATATGTGAAAATAATGATGTTTTATGTTTAACTTTCTAAGCAATTACTGAAAGCAGTAACTATATACACCTATTCTGATAAACAGTTTTGTGCTCTGTAACAAAAAGCAGATACAATGAATGATGGAATGAATATGGACAATGATCCTTCCATTAAAAAAAAAATCCTTCCAAAGAAACTTAAAAATAGAATTACAACAATATGAAAGAACACTAAGAATTTATATTCACCTCATTATTTTTGTTTATCTTAAAATTCACTAAAGGAAGTAATTTTACATGTAGAGAATTCTCCCTTTAAAATTTAAAGCTTAACGAAACAAATAGGACAAGCCATATCAATCACATTCTTTCTTTAAAAGCAATAATCTTATAGGCACGCAGAACTTTGTAAAGATATTTGTTATCTGAGTAAGAGTAAAGACTGCATACATTCATTTTTCTTTTTGCGCTTCCTAACTAAGGACAGTTATGTCTGTACTCTAATCCTAATATTTGTACAGGTAAAATTAGATTTAAATAGCTAAGTCTATTACAAAAAGTAAAAAAAACTGAAACCCACAACACAACTCCAATCTGTAAGCCTCATCTGTAGTATTTAGTCATGTCATCACATGTCAAACAAACCCAAGGAAATCCTACCAAAAGATCTGATCAAGCAAACATCACATCACTTCTGTACCTAATACAGCTTACCTGCCCTTATGCTTCTGCCAAAATTTATCAGATGCAGTTAAATCATAGGATTTCTTATTTTTTTTCTTAGGTCTAGCACCTGCTGGAGTACCTTCCGTTCCTGTTGATTCTTCCAAGTTAACTCTATTCAAATGGAAATCCTAAGGGAAAAAGAAAAGGAACATTACGTAAATATTTGACAGTTTCTAATCATTTAATCAGTCTTTTATATTCAGACAATTATCTTCAAGAATTTTTTTTAGAGGAAAAGCTACTAACACAGCTTTAAATTAAAATTTCCCAAGATGACAGTGAACAGTTTGCTGGTAATAATGACTGCAATGCAAGATCTCCAAAATTAATTGCACTACTGAAAAACTATCAAAGCCAGCAAGAAATCTTCTTAAAATAAAATGACAGGAATACTGTTTCCCATATAGAAAATAGGTTATTTGGCAATAACTAAGCTCTAAGTACTCAGGTCAAAACCTTAAAGTAATGGAAAGTTTGCGTTGTAGACAGAAAAAATTTCTAAGGTTGAATTCCACTTAAACAATTAGAGCAAATTTAACAGAGTTGCGAGGAAGCTCACAACAGTATCTAGTCAGCAGTACCTACTGGGAGGACTATTTAGATGAATCTTCTTCACACATTCTTCCCTACTACACAGATGTGCAGATCTAGAATCTACATCCTTCAGGTAGATGACAGAGTTATGTTCACATACAATGTTATCACTGCTTACTTGCCTGCATGCCTTTTGTTCCTTTTCTCCATTACTTTTGCCAATGACATCTCTGTGCTTTCTGCAGCATAACCCCTGATTTTCAACACAGAGATGAGCCAGAACCCCACATATCAACTTTATTCTAACCCCTCTGAAGTACATTTGCAATTTCACAGGTGATCTCTTCTTGTGAAATAATGACTAAAGGAGCACACTGACTTCATTGGAAGTGTCAAGAATTTTTTAAAATACGTATTTTTTCCAGAAATAAAACTTGTTATTCTCATTGTAAATGCAACTGCCAAATAAAAACCATTTAAAAATGTTTCTAGTTATCAGTTGGCACAGCTCACACATTCAGAATTTCATTTCAAGCCATCCAGGCCAGAACAGAAGAAAAACCATGTCACTTCCCAAAGAAAACACGTGCAGCCAATGGGCAGAAACCTCACCTTAAGCATGCTGTCTAACATTTCAGTAAAACTAGACTACTTTTAATGTACATTTGTTCACTACAAAGTTAAAGGAAAAATAATCATTAATCATTTAATTGAAAACTCAGCTGTAATTTTTAATGGAGATCTATATTTTGGTTCAATTTAACTCACCAGTGACCCAAGTTTCCATGTTAGGTTTGGCATTTACAAGTTCTACCAAAACGATTCTTATCGATTCCAGTCCTCCTCATTTGACCTCCACATTCTGTCTTTAAAAAGCCTTCTATCTGTGCCTCCCACTTTTCTGTAACCACTCCCGAAGGGTATTTTAGTCCGAAATGTGGATCTCTGCACACACATCTGTTTATGTGTAGAAACACCACCATTATCATCTCAAAGGACACAGAACTCCACTTTGTGGCTCGGTTAGCATTTAGTTCAATACCTCACAGAACTCCTGGGATATTTTAACCAAGAGCTTCAAACATGAAAGTAAAATGTACATAATTAACATCCTGGTAACACTCTCAGTTACAATTCATGGCCTTCTGAGAGGCTACCATGGTCATTTAATAAAATATTATGCTCCATCAGTGAAGAATTTTACATGATTGCCTTCAATGGCAGTAACTCGACTGGTTTTGAAATTAAATTTTTGTTTTGTCCTTGACATGGAATCACAGGCCACTTGATTATAATTTTATTAAAGAAATACATTATCCTGTCAACTCAGTCAAAAAAGAGAAGCAACACGCAATATTTAACAAGGTCTTCCAGAAACTTATGTTGAACAGATAAACATTCAATGACCCTCAAACCATTCTTGTCATGTTATTCCAGTACCTCTCCATATTTGTAAGCACTCAGTTTTCACTACATCTTTAATACTTCTGACCTCTTGATGGACCAAGGTTCTACCCCAGTGCATTCCTCAGGTCACCAGACAACTTCCTCTAGCTAGCAGCTGATGAGGAGGCACATGGAGGTGGCAGGTATTTACTAGCCAGTCACTGAGCATTTGCTCTTCAACGGCTTGCAGCCAATGAGCAGAAACGTGCTGACTTTATGCAATAGCAATTCCTGAGTCTTCCACTGATTCTCAAAAGCAAACAATAGAAATGCAATATTTTTATTTGAAAGTCTTCAGTGTTCCACAGATATTGGAGAAAAACAGCACAAACCACGTTTTTTTTATGAGAGCTTGTCCTACAGAATGGCAAAAAATGTTCACTTGAAGAAAAAAATCCCATCCTTTAGGTTAATAGGAAGGGACTGCTCACAAGACATGAAGTATATAAAACAGAATTTAAAGGCACATACAAACAAGTTACTATATGTACATAGGTGTATGTGTATATTTTACATCTTCCTCTAACAGCCTCAATAATAAACACAAATTATTCCTCATGGCTATATAGCAGAATGATTTGCATGACTAACTGTACAATCCAAAAATGTAATTATTCTTACCCATTTTTTTGTATTATTAACAACTTAAATATGTATGAAATGCACAAACCCAAGTAGGCAGTATTTGCTTTCGTTCAAGTACCTCATCACTACTGGTTTTATAAAATAAACGAGAGGAATGGGCTTAAAAATCACCTTTGTTATTAAAAAAATAGATCCATTTTAGGTTTCTCACAGTAGGGTTATGTACCATTTGGCACATCTATACTGAGCATCCACAACATGCTGTGGAGTAAAACAGACACGTTTTTGGAAATTCAAGCTAATACTTAAATCAGTTTTAAAACTTTTTACAAATATTTTTCAAAAAACAAACTGAATGTACAGAATTTGCAGTTAAAAAGTGATTATGAACTACAGAGGAATAATCTAGGACTGCTGAGTTATGTATTTTCTAATAAAATCAAGATTTCAAATTTTTGACAACTTTAGAAGTTACTGCTAAAGAAACCTTCTCAAACAATCCTTCAACCTTCCACCTACTTTCAAATAAAAGAAGTAAAACAGATTTTGGGTTAAGAGAGAATCTGGTATTAAGTTTAATAACAAGCTAAGTGAAAAAATATTTTTGGTAACAAAATCAGATTTATTCTTACCAGAACATCATGCACTAAAGCTTGGTATGTCCAAGTATGGTGGAGAGGAGTTGCTAAATCTATGTTTCTGTCAACAAGGACTAATAGGGGCCTTTGGAAGCTGAAAAGATGACACTTCATTAGTACTTCTTTAAATATGTTCAGAACATCCCAGTAACATCCTGAGCGATATCAGCCGCCTTCTACATTGCATTTTAAGTTAAAAGCCTAACTTCCTACTAAAGAATTCCACCAGCCTTCCTCAAAGCTTCTGGGGCTGACCACTGCCAGTATTTTGCACCAAGTGAAAAAATACTAAGCAGACGTCAGAACACCAAAGAATAACTAGCTTTTTAACTATTAACTAATACATACTTCCTTGTGTGGATACACATCTGAGTTTCAAACAAGCGTTTAATATTGTAAGAACCTGAGTGGGTCACATTTGACCCTAATCTTATTATGTACCTCAAACATAAAATCTGCCCCTCAACTCTCTTATTTCATTTTAACTCTTTGCTTGTATATGAAGTCTGTAAAGAAAAAAAAATTACTTTCTGAGATGCACTGCTGTAACTGCATCATTAACACAATTTTATGAGGAAAAAAAAACCAACACCAAAATATCTTGGGTTATGGCCATATAAAAATTAACAGTGGAGAGAGAAAAACAACTAGTGTAACGATGTCCCTAGCAAATATAAAACTTACAGTAAATGTGACGGCTACATTATTTGGACAGACAATACCATGCTCTGGATAAGTATTTACATGCAGACACACAATCTCAAGAGCCTGTGTCATTTGGGAAAGCAAACTCAAGATCAGCCACCATTTAGCTGTTAGAGGTTCCCATAATTCCTGTATGTTGCTGCTTGATTTCTCTGAGGGTAATAATGCTATCCTAACAGGAAAGCACGCCACCCTCCTGAAGAAAGTTCACTGGTTACAATTCCCATAACAATAAAGTTCCCACAAAGATAAAGGAACTAATTTCATAGCTATGCTCTCTCTCCTAACGGCTCTCAATCCCATTTCATTTTGTCCCACAATCTTCGTGGTTTTTTGTTTTTTATTGTTGTGTTGTTTTTTTTGTTTTTTTTTTTAAATCAAAGCTCTGCACAGAATGAGATAAGAATCTGTAATATCCACATTATAAAAAAATAAACTGGGTATTTTTGTTTCCAGTTAGGAGACCATAAGCTCTGCCTTCAGCTACAGTTTTCATAATGGGTCTCCTCACCTTTTTTAGTACAGTGTAAACTACTGTAATGCACTTTTGTAAGGCAGTCAGTGAAGTATTCAACTAGCTGGAGGCAAAGGGATGTTGGAGAGGCAACTAAAAACAAATTTCAGACACATGGAAGCACCTGCAATGTCTTTTCTTAACCCTCCTTCCCCCCCAAAGGATTCAAATGAATGACAGCCCTCAACTGTCTAATCATCCAACTTGCTTGTGCAGTTCTCCTCTGGTAGATATAAAAATCAGCTGACATAATTACAACTGGTAACTGCTCAGAAGCGAGAAAGTGGGTATTTCCTTCTTTTTAAAGACCTACAAGTTGATTAACAAATGTTCAGAAATGCAGCTGCAAATAACGGCACTGCAATGTGACTACGATGAAAGGGCAAACAAAACTGTCTGCTTCATTAAATAATTTCTGTCTCGCTGTCTCAGTCATGTAAGATTCAACCCAATTATACTAAGAGATATGCAGTCTTACTTTGGAGTACAACTACTTTAGTATACAATTTGAACCTAATCCTTGTAGTTTTCACCATATAGTGGTGACTTACCCTAGTGAGATCTTACAAACAACTGAAATATAAACAATAAAAACATACAGTTATTACTAACACCTTACCTGAACTGGCCAGCTCCAAGTGTGTCACCTGTAAAAAGACTGTTTCTGGCATCTCTTAGATTCTCTCTGAGCTTTTTATCTAATTTCTGCATGGAGAAAAATACAAAACAGTATTTAATGAACCAATGATTTCTTAACCTATTTATTTCTTCAACATTTAAAGATCATGCTGTTTTTGCACTTCAAACTTCCTATAGCTAAAACATTTATGGTCAACTTCACATTAGATCTGGCCCAAGAACTCTCTTCCCTGTTTTTTCTCCCTCCAGTTTTTATACCCAGACCCAAGAGTCTACAGAAGATATTACTTTATATCCAGCAAACTTCCCCTTAGATAATTAGCATCCTCTCTCTAAATGTGTGAATAAAAAATACCAACACCCACAGAGAACCAGAACAGAAGCAGCAAATTGTGCTGTCAGATATTGCTGTAGTAAAGCGTCTCATAAAATGAAGAACATCCCTGATATGAACACATGCAGACTGAATGCTTGGGTTTAACCAGTGTTAAGGCTTCAGTGATGAAGAAAGCTATGAGGAATACAGAATGAAGCACAGTGACCCCTAGTGAAGACACTGCTGTAGCAATTTTTAGTTCTAATTTAATTTGGTAATTTAATTCCTATTTGACAATCAAGATTACTTTAATATAATAAAAATGTCTTGCACCTATAGGGTGTCTCAATAAGACAAAGAAATTCCTATATAGACACAGGAAAACTCAGGCCAGGCGGGAACTTTTTTATAGAATTTATTTATAGGTTCATGGTTCTAATTTTAATGCCTGTCAGAAAACCTACAATAATTCCAAAGTACAAATAATCCTTCAGATTTAAGTTTCTCATCAGCTTATTTCATAACATTACAATCTCTACATATGAGTTCCATGGAACTAAAATCATAATGGAAGGCTGGTATATGTCCTTCCAGTTTTATTTTCCTCACTAAGAACAGGAGACAATGCCACTGGATCTCTATGCAGCGATGAAAAAAGCAAACAAGCTGTTAAGAAAAAATTTACAACAGCAATACTCTTTTAGTAAAATAATTTCTTACCACTGCCACCATTTCAGCTGCAGTTCCTCTTGAGCATCTGATTATAGGAATAGCCCCTAAAAGACAGATCGATTTCCACTTGTATTACAGTTTTAAGACTATAAGTCAGTGTACTTTGCAGAAAACAATTTTTTAGTAATAGTTTGAAAATAAAATTCTCAAGCAGACACTCCTTATGCCAAATTTTTCTCTCACAGTCTTTAAATCAGAATCAAAAAATACTCCATAGCAATACGTTACCAATGCAATACGTTTAACAAAACTAACTCTCATGCATGAATTTATGAAAAAGACAGCACATTCTAGAAAGACAGCTAGCACATCATGTATTGGTTAAACAAACTCTAATAGGGAAGCATTAAAACTTAGTTTCATAAGGTCAGAATTCACTTAAATGCAATAATAAGTAATATAGCAAGAAACGCAAAATAATGTATCAGTCACATCTTGATACAGGAAATGTCATTTTCAAAAGCACATTTTCCATGGAATTTCAGGTTTAAAAATCATTAGCTCCGTATCTCACCTATAAATATGAAATAATTCTTTTGTATAAACATGACAATTTAAATCCCACAAGACTGCTCCAGAGAGATCCCACACTCTCTTACAGGAATACCACTTCAGATCCACTGATCACAGTGAGAACTTAAGTAGATGACATCACCATAAAAAATGTATAGGTTAAGCAACAACATAATTCTCAGTAATGCGAATAAATAAAGTTTATCTTCCTATTCCAAGAAGTATTTCAATTAAACCCTTCAAGGGTTGTGTGATGTTTTTCTCCTTTTTTTGAGCTTAAAAATCCAAACTCCTAGCATTGCTGACCTTCCCACAACCTTCAGTATTCCTTACCCATCGGTAAGACTAAATATATCATGTCTCACATGGCATACCCTTTATTTTCTTTGGCAGTGATGTACAGAAATAATTCTATGAAGATCAATAATCCACTCAGCAAACCATTAAGGCAGAAGCAGGGGTATGACAGATAACCTTAATTTGGCTATACAAAAATTACAAAATTTCCGCATCTCACTGAACATAAGTCTCATCTAAAAGGAATGGAGAATATGCTAGAATTTGAAAACTTACCAAGTGTAACAAAAAAACAGAAGAGGCTATCAACAATAGTGTCCATTATCGTTTCCATTTCAGTGTCTGTTATATCTGGTCTGTTAATGGCTGAAACAATGTGGAAAAGAGTTAAATACAGGGTGAAAGAAAGAAGTTCATGCCACATTGACACTGAAAGTGATCCTCTTACCTAATGGCTGTCAACTGCCAACAGCTTTTATAGCTGAAGAGATCAAATCATAAAATACACTTCTACTATTTTTTCCTCCCCATTTTTTTCTTTTTCTTTCTTTCTTTTTTTTTTTTTAAAGTTAAAGTCTGAGATAAACTGATTATTGTTTACCGTGGAAAGCCCAATACCACAGCCTCTCCCCACTGCCTCCTTTCAGATTATTTCTGTATTATTAAAAATCCCTCTTAGAGAATCACGTTATGAAACAGGAATGGCCATCTAATTGGAAACCATTTTTCCAATTAACAAGCATTCAAATACCATCAAACAGGATGTCACATACATACACTTCATAGCAGTATTAGCCATTTACTCTTTCCTCTACAGTCATAGAAAAACAGAACTCTGGCTATGAAAACCTTTTATGTAACTGAACTATGTTACCATGCTCTCTCTTTCATCACCAGCAGATTTATACTGACTTGGCAGATTACTCAGCTATTTACAAAGTGGCAGTTTTCTGTTAGGGCTACCCTCTACAAAGAGTTCACTTCTTCATTGCCCATGCATTTCTTTTGCTTCCCTGGGTCAGATCGAGCTCACAGACAGATGATCAGCTCAGTGCTCTACTGGAAAACTAATTACTTCTGTATGGGAGATTAGATTTCTGTTCCATCAGCGCTTAGAAATAGTCCACTTCTATACTGGTTTGAATACAATGTGAAACTGTATATTGAGTGGCAAATTCCAGCAACCCAAGAGAGAAAAAACAAATCACACAAACTGACAGATGCAAACATTTTCAGTCATTTCAAATTCTGTTAGCAGGTAGAAATCTTATGAGGCACGGTCAAGAATCTTTATATATACACACAAACACAATGCAAAACAATTACTGCTAAAATTGCTAACAATCAGTTTTAGTTTAAAGTAATAAAAAAAAAGGACCATTTTTCAACAAAAAAAACACCCTAATTCTCTGACACTGAAATAAGTTCCCAGTGTGAGGCCAAACTCAGTACAGTGGATCCAGCTTGCAAGAAAGACCTTGGATACTGGACAAAAGAATCTTACCCAGTCACTAGTGAGTACACTGTGCAGCCAAATAAAGGAATAATTGTGTAGCACTTGTGTAGATGTTGTGACTGCAGTAACATAATGAGGAGCTGCTGCTAATATAAGTGCTGTATTGCCTCTGACTTGCACGCCATCTTCTGCTTCCCTTGCACTGGATTTGCAGGTGCCACAAATGAGTTGCTAACTTTTACTGAATGAGTCAACAGAAAGAACAGAATACTCTGCAACTCCAAAGTTACTTGTTTTGATATAAGAGAGAGAAGAGGGAAACCACAATAAGGGCAGCAAGACAACCCGCCATATACTAGTGAGCCACCTGAGCCAATAGCAATGCAGGTAGAGTGACAGTTACTCTCTTCTGGTTTAGCACACTGCATGGCTCAGAGGAGTACAAAAGTGAAAGAAGGAAGGAAAATGGTATGGATGATGATGACAACAATTAGCATGTGTTGTCTACTCAGGCTGCTGCAGTAACACCTACAGAGGTAAGTGACTTAGGGCATCCTCACCATTTTTAGAGTAGGTTCCAAACAGGTCCAACAGAAGCCACGTGATAAGACAGCAAGAACATTTTCATGAGACTGACTTCACTTTCAACCCAGAGACTTGACAAAGAAGTGGACAAAAGTAAATGGGCCTACATGGTCGCAGAAGCCATCACCTTTTATTTTCAGTAATGTTTTTTCCAGATTCTTCCCTGAGCTACTCTGGTCCCTGATCCTAAACACATTCCTGGCATACTCCCATCTGCTTGGATGTATGTTTTCATGTCTTGATCAAGAAAAGCAGGTACTGACTGGTCACGGTTTAGATGATACTTAAAACTCTATCAATTGAAGTTATCTTTCTTGCTTTGCATTTCCTACAGTAACTCACTAGCTGACCACTCACAAAAAAACCAAAATATTTAATTAAGAACTGCATATAGGACTATGACTGAACAGTGGTGCCATAACAAAGCAGCCACCCACTGTGCCTACCTACAAGTGTAAATGAAAACACTTTTTCCCATACTGTCACACATGCAAAAAACCCCATCTGAGGTGCAGTTTTAGTTTCCTAAATTCGTCATTTAAGAAAACAATTATTTTCAATATTACAATAGCTTTGCAGTACAGATGCCTAAACTAAGATGTGTGAACTGCTTACTTCATCATATTAAACTATACATCTGACAGATTATCCTGAAGTCTGAGTAGATCAAAATAGAATAAAAATCATTGTTAGGTGTAAACTGTAACTTCAAAAGTAAACTTCAATTTTAAAACATTTTATCTTTTATACAAAGAAATTTTACTCACCACGATATGAAACAAGCTCTTTGTTTTGGTTACACAGTACAAACATATCATCTTCTAAAGTAATAAAATTAAGATATTGATCAAACACCTAAAAATAAAGGAAGAATGGTCAGAACAGTCCAGAGTGAAGTACAGAAACACCAGTGATTTGTTGCTACTTATTTTTAGACTGGATGCACACACAGATTTAGTGAGATCAGAAACATTCTGCAACTACTGTATTTCCACTCTTTCAGTACAACAGTCATGCAGCGCTTGGGCTTTGGACTAAGATGAAATATAACACTAAGCTGGATTAATGAGATGGCTGCAGATACTTTTCCCCAAGTAAATCCATGCCTGTCATCACACCTAACTAAACTTTTACTTTGCTCACATTTCAGTCAGGAAAGCTGTCTGTGGCACAGAAGCAGTTACATAAGACTGCAATACTTGTAACACTACTACCCTGTACAATACAGACTGGAGCATTTTCTTACCTTAGCCACTTGAGCTACAGCATTAGCACCTATGGCAGCATTGGCAATATCTTCCAGTTTACTTCTTGAAATGGCGGAAATAAAGTTTAAATAATAAGATTCATAAAGCTGGTTTCGAAGATCCTAAAAGAAAGTCAAACCACAATCTTTTTGCCTGAATAAGTACTAACATATACATTAATTATTAAAAAATACACAACCTTTTACTATGCAATGTTCCAATTATCCATAGCCAATTTTTCTGAAGCGCTTGGCCATCTCAACATATAGCCCTGCATGAAAGTGTTTTGACTACATAGCTTAATAGAATCTAACACAGAACTGAAAAAAAAAAAAAAGAGGAAATAACATTTAAGATACCAGACAGCAGCTACTATTCCACATATTTCCAGCGATGACAACTATGTCCATCTGTTTTTCCTCATAGAAAGTAAACAGCTGAGTCCAGCCCCTGCCTCAAGGCAGTCAAACAGGAGGTGGCTCACCACTGTGTCAAGTTTTGAATGTCTCCAAGGAAGATGACTCCATGCAGTCCCTGGTCAAACCGACTGCCTGTATTTCAGCCTGTGCCTGCTGACTCTTGTCTTTTCACTCCCCAGACAGAAGACACATTTACACTTCTACTTGCTGGGAAACAGCTTTACATGTAAAAATTTTGGATAATATTTCACACGCAGTGGCGTGCTGACAGATAAAATACAAGAAAAACAGACGTGCACAAGAACTACGCATACAGAAGTCATGCTGACATCAATGCAGGATTACTTCAAACACACTACTACTGCTGCGTCCACTCATCTTAAATATTAAATATGCAAGTTACCTGGCACATTCTGTCAATATTTTCTTCTGTTGGCATTACAAAGTACACAGCAGGAACATCTGGAATAGGATCCCGATCTGAGTGCAAAAGCCTGAAAAGAAAATAAAAACACCACCTCCACTGTATCCCTCTTTTTATTTACATAAAATTACAAATGCCAATTAAATTATTTACACAGATACAAATCTAATGTTCCAGAACATGTTCTTATGTTTAGTCAGATTTTAGCACAAACAAAACATGAAAAAATAGCAAAATTGCACCTATATAATTTTTGACAGCTGAATGTGTCAGAGTTCTCTGAAATTTATTTGAAGCCTAAGAAAAGGCTTCAGAAATCTTAAACAGATGATTCTGTGGAAAAATACAGCATCCATGAACTTCATACGTGAGAAACCTTTTAAAATAACACTTAAAGCTCCTTACCACAGACAGAAGACAAAGTCTGCGTGTAAAAAGACAAGCAAAGATCATGCACTGCCTCATGTAAATGGTTTGTGCCAAAATAATTTTAAAATATATAAAAGGATATGGGGTTTTATCCAGGCATTCTCAAAAATCTTTACTAGATTTCTCATTACTTTTCTGAGCAAAGGCCTCCTCTATACAATAGGAAATCCTATTGAACACTGAGTAATTCTTATTTTAGTAGTTACTCATTGAATAAGTTCTTTTTTTTTGTTTGTTCACGATTTCAGGGAAATATTAGATAAAGCTATTTAAAGAAGAAAAAAAATCTCTTATAAAGAAGTACTTACAGATGCAAAGTGATCCCCATATCTCTCAGCTCTTTCACTGATAGCAAAGGTGAGATGATATCTTGGCCAAATCTGTCATAAATGAGAACCTGAAATAGATACACATTTATTTATTTATTTATTTTTTAAGCAATGAACTGTGGATACAGGAGTTTAAGCTTAAGGATCTACTCTCCTAACCTTAAGAGTGATAAACATGTACCAATTTATTACTTTGTTCTAGGTTTCCATTTGTGGGGAAAATAAAAAACAAAATACCAAAAAAAACCAAACCCAAAACACTAAGTAACTCTATGATAAAGTGAAAAAAAATCATCATTTCCTTTTGAAAAAAATGGAAGTCAAACAAGAATCCGCTGTCAGAACTTGGTTACTGTAAATACAGCATTTCTCTGACTACATGAGGGGGGAAACAGTGGGAGAAGCACAGAGCGAAAAAGACATTAATGAAAAGAGAAAACAGAATATATGCTTTTAAGTGGCACTAATTTTTCACAAGTGACAAGTTATTTACTTTTTTTAAGTTAACGAGGGTAGCTTGAACTCAACTTGTCCTAAACTTAAGGCTCTCAACAGTTCTCCATTTTCCACATGCTTCTTTTTTTTGTGAGTGCACCTGTAAGGTATCATGCAATTTCCTGCCATACATGAGGTATAAGCACATTTCAAAAACACCCTCTTTAGTTGCTCATTAATATACTGCCTAAAGAATCAGTCACAGCATACTTAACTAGCCAATATGTCAAATGTCTTTTTCTCAGCAACTCTGATGTTTAACTCTGTATTCGTATCACACAGGAAAAAATATTCTGTATAAGTTAAGGACACAGACAACATACATGAGTTAGTATAAATTTGATAATCTGAACTTTTTTTTTTAACACCGTAAAATTCTCCTATTCCCATTCAGGCAGTCCTTACCTTCCATACCGGCTCCCCTGTGCTGTTTTTAACAGGAGGAACATTGAAATTCAGCATACGTTTCAAAGCCACTGGAAAACAGGAGTAGAGCAATACTTTATTCTCTTTGCACTTTAACAACATTAAACATGCTAGCAGGATTTTATATCATGTTTGAGAAGAAAAGCTTAAAAAATATATGCAACAAATCACGTGTGCATTTTTCATGCAGCTTTTGATATACGGGCTATATTCTATTGTATTTTGCCTTGAAACTAATTTCAGACTCTTCCTGAAGGGTGCATTTTGTATCCTCTGGGTTAATTTGCTTTATCATCATGGTGCTTCTTCCTACCTGATCAGAACAACACTATACACACAGTGTGCCACACAGAAATACCTCTTTGACTGACTAAACCTGACACTATTTTTCAATATTTTGAGCTCTTGTAAGAAATTGCTGCACAAAAACACCCCTAATCTGCAACAGGAAAATTCTGTGAACACGTATCCATGTAACTTCACATTCAATACAAAAACAAAGCCGATTTTTTCACCTACCTCCACTTTCCAAGGGCTCATAAGTAAGACCTTCCTCATTCACCTGATTAAACAACATGCCACGCGCTTTGGCTAAAAGTAAAAAACTAATTGCATCACCATAAGCTTGTGGCTATTTTCTCCCAATCCATAAACACAACTGTCATAGACCTTTGCAAAGAGAAAAAAAACTTTCAGACATCAGGGCTACGTACTCCTCTTTACTCATAAATAGAAGCAGTTAATAGAATCATTTAAATTGGAAGGGTCCCTCAAAGGTCATCTAGCCCAAATCCCCTACAATGAAAAAGGGACACATACAGCTCTCTAGAAGGTTACTCAGATCCCCCTCCAGCCTGACTTCGAGCATCTCCAGCAACCACCGCCTCTCTAGGCAATCCATTCCAGCACCTCACCACCCCCAGAGTAAAAAACTTCTTCCTTATAGCCAATTTAAATCTCCCCTTTTTTATTTTGAAACCTTTTTGCCCTTGTCACATCACAACAGAATCTGCTGAAGAGTCTGTCCCATTCCTTCTTATAGCTCCCTTTATGCACTTAAAAGCCACTATCAGTTCCCCCCAAGCCTTCTCTTTTCCAGTCTGAACAGCCCCAGCTCTTTCAGCCTGTCCACATAGGAGAGGTGTTCCACTCCTTAGACCACTTTCATGACCCTTTCCTAGACACCCTCCAACAGATCCATATCTCTCCTGTACTGACTCCACATCAAGACACAGTACTCCAGGTGAGGTCTCACCAGCACAGAGTGGAAGAGCAGGATCACCCCCGTTGATCTACTGATCATTGCTTCTTTTGATGCAGTTGAGCTCTACTCAACTTCAAGGGAACACTGCTGGACACCCTCAAGTTCTTTTCGTCTGGGCTATGCTCAATCCTTTTGCTCTCCACAGACTTTAGGCTTGTACTGATAGCAGGGGCTGCCAGTCCCAGGTGCAAGACACTGTAATTGGATTGAACTCATGAGATTCACCTGGGCCGACTACTTCAGCCTATCTAGGTAAAGATGAGTAACTTCTAACTCTCAGGCAGAAAATGGTTTGCGAGAGCACTATTGGGCAGCCAAGGCAGGTAGGAATCTCACGGGCTCTCAAGCCCATCTTCCTCAAGAAGGATCAGCTGCAAAGCCAGGTCTTGTTGCTTGGGGAAGCAATACCTAGCCAGACCTTAAAACCCTCCAAGGAAGAAGATGCCATACCTTCCCTTGGCAATCTGCACAGCATCTGACGTGTGGTAGAGTAGGTTTCCCTATATCCAATTCAGACATGTCTTGTTTCAGGTTATGCCAGCTGTCACCACAAGGAGCCTGGTACCCTCCTCCCAGAACCCTTCCCACACGTTCCCCCTGAAGCCCTTACTGCAGGCAGGCTGAACCCCACTTTGGCAGCCTCCCCCCCTGAGGTGAGAGCTTTAACTCTGCCTACCTCAGTGGCCCTCTGCTGACCAACCCTCCTGTACTGCTGAGCACAGACAGAACACAGACTCAGGCATGCCTCAACCTGCAGGGATCAAGTAGATGGGTGGCGGTTCCCGTCCATCTGGCTGCACTCCTGAGAACAGGGTGCTGTTACACAGGGGCATACTGCAGGCTCAGGTTGATTTTGCTGCCTGCTGAGACTGGTAGTGATTGACAGGTCTCCCTAGAATCAAACCTCTGTTGCTTAATACTTTTTTTTTTAAAAAAAAACAAAACATGGAACAATCTTAGGAGCTGCTGCTTACAGACTGTTCCTGAAGTCTTTATTCCCTTGCTGCCATGGCATCTTCCATTTCTTGCTCAGCTGTACAAACAATTTTGTATAGAGCTACGTGGTTATGTACTTTGGAACTACTAGATTTGAAGCAACTTCCTTGTAGAGGTTACTATTTGAGTTAAAACTCTGCTTCAGCTACCTACAAAAAAGCAACAATCAGACTACCAACATGCTGTGACCATCACAAAACCTAGAGATGTGCTGACTGCTTATCTTTTCTGTTCTTGCTCTTCTACTTCATGCTGAATACTCTGTGGGTCAAGGATTGGGTTTTTACAGTGGGGTACAGTGATACACTCTGACTGGTTATAGAGCAGGGCAACAGCAGAACAGACACAGGCACACACAACAGTGTAAGTACTACACAGTCAAAGTGTTTTCATTACTTGTTTCCTCTTACTTGTTTCCATCTACCTCCTTGCAAGTGACTGCCCCAACAGGAGACAACATGGGTATGAACGTTGGTTGAAAGAGGGTGAGAACAGTCAAGTGAGAAATAAAAGAATAAAGTTGCAGGGAATAAAGGCTCAGTGACAAGGGGCTTTATCAGAAAAGTGTAAGTATGAGAAAAAGTACTGTAAAGGAACATGAATCAGTTCCATCATAGTGGATGATCAGAGAACATACAATTACGGTACAGAAAAGCTGGAAAAATATTAAGTTCAAAAAGGACTGAGCAAAAAGGATAAGACTTTTAAGCAGGTGATCTTAACTATCTTATGTTAAATGAACGCACCCAGACTCCTCTAAGCAGCGGTCAAGGAGGAGATGACAAGACTACAATTCAAACTACGGACAAAAACTTCAGCAAAGTACGCAGGAATACAGGGCTGATACACTCTATGTTTTAGGGGTATGTTCACACGGATAGCCATCCACGTGCCCCACAGAGCAGCAGCAAGAGAGAGATGAAGGAGCCAATTGTGAACTCAATAGTGTGTAAGCAGGGACTGAGTAACCAACCCTTTTACCCACAGAATACCTCCCACAGGGAGCCTGAGTTGGTAAATATAAATTAATGATGAATTTCCTAAAGGTCAATAAGCACTCCAGGACCTCAGTATCATCCTAACAGGGGCAACAAAGCAATTGTTTTATTTTTCCACCCTAAAACGACGCTTCTGGCTGACCCTTCCCACAGCCAGAGAGGAAGCCGAACAAAGGGAAAGCACAGCCCCCTCCCACGGAGACGGCCTCCGCTCCTACCCGGTCCCTGCAGACCCCCTTCCCCCCCGGGGGTGATTTCCACATCACAGCGGCACCTGCGGCCGCGTCCCTGGGCATCTGTGCTCCCCGGGCCCGGCAGGCCGGGCCCCTCGGCAGGAGAGCCCCGGGCCCGTCACCGTACCCACCGCTGAGCGCCGCGGCGAAAGGGGTTTGGGGTTGGAGAAGGCCGCCGCCGGGTAACCCAAACCCAAACCGGCCGCGGAGCCCCAGGTGGATCGAGGCGGCACGGGGACGCCTCCATCTCGCCCGGAGGAGCCGTCAGGGAAAGGGCGGGGAGGAAAGCAGGCTCCCAGAAGAGCCCCCAGCTACACCCTGAGGCCCACCGCGCTCCTTCCCCACTGCAGGCAGAACAGCGGCCGCGCCGAGCGATAGAAACCGCGGGAGCCGCTCACCTGTCTGCTTCTCCCGGATCCCGGCCGCCATTTTGCCTCGCCGCCAGCCCGGCCGCAGCTTCCCGCCCACTGCCGCGCACGCAGCAGACCGGCGACGTGGCGGCCCAGCACAGGGGCGGGGCGGCGCCGTTTCTTTCCCCCCGTTGCCGGGCGGCTCGCGAGAGGCTCCGCGCGCCTTGCGCCCAGCGCTGGGCTGCCTTCAGCTGTAAGCCCAAGATTTTAGGCAAAAAGAGGCTGCAGCTGTTTTTGTCCTACCCGCGTGGTGCGTGCACAAACTGCAACCGGGCAGCTGTGAGGCAATTAGGCGGCCATCTAGAGACACAGCTGGCGAAGATTAATTGCTGATGAATTCAACACCTTGTCTACGACTAAAGTTGCACGTCTCTCCTTTGCATGCTCTTTGCAATCTTCTGTAGGCAATACGTGCTCAGCTGTTCTGTGCTTCGAGAAAGCATTGAGGAGGAATAGTCCCGTGCAGCTGAAACTCTGACAAAGATATGATGGTTAATGTGCACATCCACGAGGGCTGCTTCGAAAGTAATGCCTCCTATTTTATTAAGTTGGCCTATGATGGCGGAGGTGATGCTGAGTACGGCAGGAGCTGAACTTTCCCACCAATATTCCATTCCCTTTTCTTGGCAGCAGAGGCTCTGACAGAATGGCCTCTGACTTGGAAGAGCAGAGGAAGCAAAGGTGTGTCATTGACTTTCTCCCTGCAGAAAGAACTGCAGCCCCTTTTCATCGCTAGCAAAAATGCACAGCTAATGGTGGTGATTTTGTTGAAATGTAGTGGTTTAGAGCAGAGAATTTGCTGCATCAAAGAGTGTTAATTGCACGCTTTACCTGTTGTAGTCTCCGCAGAAATGAACAGGAGGCATTACTTTGGGAGCAACATACTCAGCATGCGTAGCAGAAACTAATGCAACTAGAAGAAAATAGCAACAGCTCTTCTAGAACTAAAACCCCTAGAACAAAAGCGAAGTAGCAAAGAGTCACATTTAATACAACATGGTAATTTAACCCTTTATTGCACTTTCAAACATATACATGACATTTGTCTCCCACAATTGCATATTTCAACACTGATGCTACACCTGTCACTGCTTGAAGCTGCAACACTTCAGGCACTGATTCTGCACTTGACTGAGATGGAGTTTTAAGTATTTACAGAACTCTAATTAATGGCACAACATTCTAACAACAATAATTTTTAAACAGTTCACACAATACAAAATTAGGTTGTTTTCTTTTTTACAAACAATATTATTATGATTAGTTTTCCATACACACTAAGATACTTCAATTTTGTTTTCTTTTTTAAACAATTACTCTAGGTAAAAAAAGTAAAACCTGAGCTGTAAAATGCTTTACTACAGAATAAGAATCAATATAAACTTTAAAAGCATATTGTGTAGCCTCCAGTCTCATCTGAATAAATTTTTTGTAAAATTTTTGATGCTATTTTTAAAACACATATGCATAATATGACTGAATTATCATAGAATCATGGAATAGAATCATACAATGATGGCTTGGGTTGGAAAGAATTCCAAATACCATCCAGTTCCAACCCCCCTGCCACAGGCAAGGTGCCACCCTCCAGAAGAGGCTGCCCAGGGAACTACCCAACTTGGCCTTGAATGCCTCCAGGGATGGAGCATCCACACACTGTGCAACCTGTTCCAGTGATTCACCACTATCCAAGTCAAAAATATTCTCCTAGAATTAATGACTCTAACACTCTGTTCAACATTTTAGTTTTACCTCCCAAAATTTTGAAATCTTCCAGCTGTGAACTGAACACATTAGTGAAAAAAAGTCAGAGCTTTAGACTTCAAGTAGAAACTGATATCAATTCCTTCTCATTTTGCAAAACATTTTTTTCAGAAACCAATTTAAAATGCTAACAGCTTGTTTTAATTAAGCATCATTTGCATGAGTCACTAAGTTTCTACACCTTGGTCTTCATATATTGAAAATATTTGTGTGGTTTTGAAGTTATATATGCTTTATTAAGAGACCATACTAAAAACACGAGTACTAAGCTAATATTGCTTATTAGAAAAAAAAAAGTTACCCTAGAAAATAGCTTATTTGATGCACAGATTCCAGAAGGAATTTTGGGGGAGGGAGGGGAAAAGTTTGATGCAGAAACAGAGAAGTTCTTTGGCCAGTCAAACAAGACAGAGGTCTGTAGTAGTTCACTTACAGCCCTGAGAAATCCTACACAAGACAAAACTTCTTTAAAACTGAAACCACTAATGCATACATGTTTATTCTTTTTCTGTTACAGAAATACTTAAATTCCCTAATTTCCAGTGTGCCTCAGGTTAACATTTTTGTAAAATAAGGAAATAACTGAATAATATTGCACTTCAGTGACCTACTTTACCAATTAAATTCTGGTGGTCATTATAGCTAAAGAAATTGCTCCAGAAGTTTTCAAATAAGATAGACTTTTCTGTGTTTTTGCGAATTAGAAGTCAGCTTGTTAAATGGCATAATTTTAATAGAAACTTCAAGTAAATTTAGAATTGGCATCTATAAATGCATGCAGAAAAAGAACAAAAGGAAATTATTCTCTCTAACAGAATTTAGAAATACAATTTGAATAAAACTAGGAT